AATTCAATGAACCAACTATTTTGCTAAAAGCTATTGAGGATTGAAAATTTAGAGAAAAATCTGTGATATGCTTATCAGTTTACAAAATGTAGAATGCACCTCTTTTCATTATTATTCATAAACAATAGGCTTTTGCTTCACCACTGATCTAAACATCATTATACTCGCTGATTTAATTCAAGGCGATAGCCAAGCAATGAAAAAATGCATAAATTGCTTTCCTAAGTCACATAACGCAAAATTAACACTTATAATGCGTTATTGGCTTTTGGCTATGCTTAGAAAAAATTATCCTTGGCCGTATTAAAGTGTGAAACGAAAAAACATTAAAATTTTCGCCTCATAATAAATAATTGACCTTTTCCATTGGGTAAATGTGCTAAAAATTGACTGATAATTTGAATCTTTTTTTTTCAAAATCAATTTAAATAGCGTTTTAATAAAAAATGCTTTATTTGATAGCATAAATAATAAGTATGCCATTAATCCCTTCTCAATGCTTCCTTCGATGATTGTTTTTTGAATTTTTTTAGATTATTTTTTCTTTCTCGCAAATAAACTATTTTCTAAATGTTAATTATCAAAAAGAGATAAATAGAATTTAGGAAACGGAATAGCTAAGTACATAATGGCGCAAATTATCGTGTTGAGAGGAAACGATGCAATTCCTCCTCGTCATAGGAATAAACTTGCGAGATTCTTTACACCATAGGAGTAAGCCTGTGAGACATAATGGTGCAATTCCTCCACGTCATAGGAATAAACTTGCGAGATTCTTTACACCATAGGAGTAAGCCTGTGAGACATAATGGTGCAATTCCTCCACGTCATAGGATTAAACTTGCGAGATCCTTTGCAGCATAGGAGTAAGCCTGTGAGATATAATGGTGAATTCCTCCACGTCATAGGATTAAACTTGCGAGATCCTTTGCAGCATAGGAGTAAGCCTGTGAGACATAATGGTGCAATTCCTCCACGTCATAGGATTAAATTTGCGAGATCTTTTACACCATAGGAGTGAACCCTGTGAGACATAATGGTGCAATTCTTCCATGTTATAGGAATTAGCAAACATATTTATTATTAGAAAATTTCTATGCTTCTATTGCCGATCCTAAAATCTTTCGAGAAAATATTTTAGCCATAACATTATCATATCACCTTAACAATCATCTTAATAATTTTATTTTTAATTTATATCAAAAATCAATTTGAATTTTTTCAAAATTCCTTCATATTTCACAGTTATCTTTATTATTATTGTTATTTGTTATGCGAAATATTTTTATTTCTTGTCGATTTTCTATTTTTGATCGAGAAGAAAAGAATGCCATAAATAATAAAGTAAGTAAGTGAGTTTCATTTTCGTCGCGATAAACTAATAACTTTCCAGTTTTTCACATATATATTCTGATTGGAATAAAATATTTTTAACGGGGAGGGGTTTCAGTCGGTAAATATTTATTACGCATAATGGTTCGGATGATGCTGTATTTCTATCGCCAAGGGACTCCCTGCTCAATTGCGACAAGCCAGTGGAGCGAGCTTAACCAGTAATGGTGAGGAATTTTAAAAAATAACAAGGAAAAATTACACATAATGGTACTTACTTACTTATTCGATTAATTTATTTTTATCGAAAATGATCGATAACGAATGAATTTTTTTAATTATTTAATTATTTAAAATTAATAAAATTATTTTTTTTTGAAAATCTTAGGTTTTTTTGCATTTTTCATTAATTTGCCTATCATTGTTATATGAAGGAATTTTTTTTTTATCATTTTATGGATGATTAATTTATTTTTATCGAAAATGATCGATAACGAATGAATTTTTTTAATTATTTAATTATTTAAAATTAATAAAATTATTTTTTTTTGAAAATCTTAGGTTTTTTTGCATTTTTCATTAATTTGCCTATCATTGTTATATGAAGGAATTTTTTTTTTATCATTTTATGGATATATTATGCAATGGAATTATTGCGAATTCGCTAATAAACAAGCTCATTTAAATCGATCCATATTGGATTAGTTTATGTCAATATTTATTGGCTTACGGTAAACAAATAGTTCGGATTGTTCTCTACTCGTTTCTATTAGGCTGAGATAATTTTCATGATTAGGCATTTTAGCTAAAAGGCCAATTTTTATCGACAGAATTTTTTCTTATCAAAAGTAATGATAGAACGAATCATAGTGACTGAGAATTTTATTCTTATCAGATGCAATAACCGCACCATGATAATTGACAATACATATCGGCTATATGGCTCCTAGGAAATCCTATCGCTTTCTATTGAACTATTCAATTTTAAATGAATATTTCGCAAAAAAATTCGAGTAATAAAATGAAAATCTTCTAAACCTAATAGCAAATAATAGCCTAGTAGAACGAGTGGAACTAGAAAGAAGTACTGTTGCGTGTTTCATAGTTTAATTTTTTTTTTCTTTATTTATTAGAAAAATTCTATGAAGGATCGAAATTTTCATTACGGAAATTTATATTGCATTAATATTAGACAAATAAATAAAATATTTATTACATATCTAAATTCAATTTAAAATTTTCTCGATTGGTAAATTATTCTTATTTAAGAAACAAATGAAATAAATAAATATTGTTATGTTCATTAATTTACCAATTGAGCTAATTAAATAAGCGATGTTTAGCAAAATTTTCCCAAGAAAAGAATATAAAACTGAAATTGAATAGAAAAACTAATGCAACCGATAGATCTGAGGAGATTTAGATTTCGCTTTTTTCCTTTTCATAAATTTTCATAAATTTTTTCTCATAAAAAAATTTTTGAAAATTTCGGAATATTTCTTTCACTTTTTGCTGACAAAAAAAAGCTGAAAAAAGATTTATTATAAGAAAAAGTAAGAAAAAAAAAGAAATATGAAATCAAGGAAATATCGCCTTGTCAAACATTTCTAAAAATGCGATGCGACTCGATTTAATTTTTTTTTCAACTTTTGCATTTTCTTAGATAAAAAAAATACTTTCGCTTCAAAGCAACTATAATCATTGCCAAAAATTTTGCCAATTTTATCAATTTTATCAACTAAAATAGAAAATAAAATTTGCGAAAAATTTAATAATAATAATAGAAAATAAAATTGTTTTCTTAGAAAATTATTTATTTTCATATCATTGATAGAATATTTAGCAAAATATGTTTATACCTTATTGTAATAATAACTCGTCATGAATATGCATGAAATACATTCCACTATGTTTCTGAATTTTCTTTCTCAATTAGTTAAAAATATATTGGCAAATTTTGGCTAATTTACCGATTTTTTATTAAATTTATTAAATTTAATAAATTTTATGAATTTATTTTATAATCTTATATTTTATTTACATTTTATAATTTTACTTATTAAATTTATTGAATCCCTAAATTTATTCGCAAATCACAATTCAAGTTTAACTAAATCAAATAATGAATTTTTTTTAAATTTCTTTTATCATTTTTGATTTGTTAATTTGATTCCTTGCAAAGATTCTGAATTTAGATTCTCTAAATAAATGCAATTCACGTTGCTATAGGTTGCAAAGCTTTTTTTCGTTTGTCGTTTAGCCGCGCCTATTTTGTATAAATTTAGATAATTTTATCTTATCGCATTACTATTACTATTACTATTAATTATTGGGATATGGCTTGGATTCGTTGCTAATCGCTATCAGTGTTCTGATTTATTTGCTATATTTTAGAATTAGTTGGGATGAATCTAGAATTTCCTAGAATCTGAACCCATAAAATGGTGAAAGATATTTGATATTATTTTGTATGCAATTTTTTCAAGATTAATGAAAACGAAAACCGCTGATATCCTGTGAATTTTTTTAGTCTTATCAGTTTGGCATAAGTTTATCATTTTTTTCTGGCTTTTTTCTCTTATATTTTTCAAAATTTATATATCTTTCTTTTTATTAACTAAATATTTTTATAATATGTATAGATTTTCAGAGAAAAATTTCATGTATTTTGCAAAAAAATTGATTTAAAAACAAATATCCAATTGGCCTAAAGAATTCACTTTAGCAAATTTCGCCAAAAACTCTCAAAATTTCGAAATATTGTTTTTTCCCAAATTTTTTTGGCAATTTAAAGAATTTATTTCGACTTAAATAATTAAATAATTCCAATAAATTTACTATCGTTTAATCGAATGCTTTAAAAGTCTAATAAAAATATTTTATTTTTACTTTATTTGAAAAAATTTATGAAAAAATTTTCTCATTCGATTTTAGTTTATTTCATAATTTTTAATTTTTTTCCATATTTATTATTATTATTAAATATTAATTTTATTATTATTATTAAATTTTCTCAAATTCTATCAAAATTTTTCTAAAAAATTTAGCAATCATTTAGCACAATTATTAACTTATAAATATAAAATAAGACTTTTGTTATGAATATTTAAAAATTCAATTCAATATGTTTCTTATTAATTCATTTTTCTTCAATTCAATCATCTATTTTTATTTGCCAAAATAATTTTAGAAAAAAAATAAAATGAAAAAGCAAATCGCGTTTGCATAAAAAAATTTCTTTTTAACCATAAAGTTTATAAAAAATTCATAAATTTTAATAAATATTTGCTAAATTCATGAATTTTACTAAAATTTCTCATAATTATACAAATATTCCTCATTATTTCTCATAATTTTTTGATTAAAATTGTATCACTCATTTTTTATTTTTTTGCATTATAAAATTTTGATTAAAAATGAAATAAGAATTTTTTCTTTTTAATAAACTAAATTTCTTTAAAATTATTTTTATTTTTTTTTAAATTTTGCATATTTTTAGCGGTTCTCTAACTCTGTATGATTCGATAATTTCTTTACAAACCATAATTCACAATTTATAATTTTAGTCATTTTTCAGTCATTCGATAATAAATGCTCAGTTATGTTGTTATTGTTGATATTTATTGTGATCATTGAGGACCTATAAAAAAATTCAAGCGAATGAAATAATGGCAGAGCCACCAATGCCTGACCTATCGCATTTAAGCGCCGAAGAGCGACAAATAATCGAAGAGGTGCTTCAACGACAACGTGCTGAAGAGGAAAAAGAGACACAACTCAGTCAGTAAGTCTCTTTTTTTCCTTCTTCTTCGAATAATCCTGCTCAATTAAGACCGAAATATTTGTTGTAGAAATGAAATCCAATAGGTTCGAACTTAAATCCTACCATTAGTAATTTTTTTCTAATAGTACACCAACCTATTTCGGCTTTACTTACTGTTAAGATGAGAAATGCGAGAAACGAGTAATTTTATTGATATAGTTTAAATTTTAAAATTTATTTATAATTTATAAGACATTTGAAATTAGAAAATATTAGATAATTTAGTAAATTTTGGTAAAAAAGATTTAAAATTAAAATTTTAAATTAAAATTAAATTAAATTAAATTAAAATTTAAAATTTTTTGCAACAATTTTTAGTGATTTTTTTTGTTACAATTACGCCATTAGTTATTAGTTTTTAATTTCTTATAATCCGGCAATTTCATTTTTCCTATAATCATTCATGTTTTTTACTTATATCAGAAGGTTATTTATAATAATGAGATTTTTTTGCACCTAAAGTCAGAAATATAATATAGAGAGACATTGGACATCTCCAATGTTTTGTATGAAATTAATCAAAGCGACATATCAACCGACCATTTTCAATCCAACCCCAATGGGAGATAGAATGGATCAATGGGTTTTCGGCTCAATTGTGAGCGCCCATGCTGAAATTCTATTCTCCACAAAAATAAACATATCCAAAAATCCGAATGATACTGGCGACTCATCCGTACTTTTACCATCATAGAACTCCCTAAGAGAGGATTTGTCTTGTACGAGAAGCCAGTAAAGCGAGTCTAATCAGTAATGGTGAGGGCTTTAAAAAAGCCATATTATAGTTGATATTTATTCGCATAGTTTTAGTTGATTTTAATATTATGGTATGTCGGTTATTTAATGGCAGGATGATAGCCACCAAAAATCGAGAACGGCTGGGGTTCGGCCAACACACTACGCTTCGATTAGCTGACCAGCGACAGCGAAAAGTGAATAGACTGACTGTGAGTGGATTGGTGCTCAGTTCGGAACAATGACACTGAGGTTCTACACTCGACAAGAGTAAATCTATCTCTCAAAAATCCGGGTAATGCTGGCAATTCACTTGTACTTTTGTCACACAAAGAATCCCTGACAAATTTATCCGACTAAACTAGACGAGTAAGCACTTTTCAAAAAATAAATTTGCTTCGAGTAAAATCGAGCCAAAGATTTTAGTCTTGTCCTTTGACGAGAAGGTACCATTCAGCGAAACCGGGCTGATTCTAGAAATCCATCTATAATTTGATTATTTGATATGCAATTTTCTGCTGAAAGAATCATCATGTCATAATAATTAGTGGAGCTAATTAATGAAATGGAAAGTGCTTTAGGAAAAAGAAAAAGATATAATTAATCTTAAATGAAATCATTTTAGCAATCTTTTAATAGAATAAAATTTTATCAGATATTGTTCATAGAAAATTATGATTATATTTTATATAACTTCTTTAATATTAGAATAATAGTAATAAATGTAATCTATTCGCATTTTAAACCATAACCGATGCTTTGAAAAAATACAGGCATAGATCTATCGTTAAAAAATCGGAGTAATCTTGTTTGTCCACTTGTAATTTTGTCGCTAAATGGCTTGCTGGCAAAAAGAGTAGAGTATTATAAAGATGATATGGCTTAACCAGAAATGATAAGCGATAATTTGCAAAAAATGAGAATTTAACCATTGTGTTTTCAATTCAATTATTCGTATCAGTTTATGGTAAAGAGGAATAAAATGGCTCAGTGGGTTGTTACTAAATTGGGAGCGCCGATACTGAGGTTTGATTCTTTACAGGAATAAACCTTTACAAAAAGCCGGGTAATGCTGGTGACTCATCTGGATTTCTATCGCCCAAGGAACTCCCTGGCATTGCCCAATACCATGAGCTAGTGAAGCGAGCTTAACCAGTACTGATGAGGACTCTTACAAAAAAAAAAAAAAATGGTAAAGACACAGGTAAAAAAGAATTTTTTTTATTTTCTTCTTACAGAAAGGCTGATCAAGAATTAGAAGCAATCGAAAAGCAAATCAACGAAAGGAAAGAAAATGCTAGGCGCTTAATCGGAACTCAAGATGATGCGATTTGTCAAATTTGTCAAAAAACAAAATTTGCTGATGGCATTGGCCATAAATGCTTTTATTGTCAGTTGAGGTCATGCGCACGTTGTGGTGGACGAACCACTAGCAAAAATAAGGTTTGGTTTTTAAAAAATATTTTAGATAATTTTCAATAATAGAATCTCTTTAAAGCATTTATCATATTCATTCGAATTGAATCATGCGAAATCATTAAACGAAAATCCCTTATAGCAAATATGGGCATGTTCACTTTGCCAAAAAAGGCAACAAATTCTAGCCAAAACTGGCAAATGGTTTCAACAACCACCGTTATCCGACGAATTAAAATGTACCTATAGTGCGGGAGAAGTAAGGTATCAGTTAAATCTTTTCCATAATAATAAAATTAATTAAAATAATAAAATTGTAATAATTTTATCATAATCATAATCATAATAATTTTATAATTATAATAATATTTTGCAAATATATATTGATAAAATAAAAAATAATAAGGCTTAAATTATTGATTGTTGATTTAATAGTCCAACACGTTCCGTTTCTGGAGGACAAATCGGAATTACCCGTAAGAGCAGTTCGCAAAATGTGGTACGAACTAATGGTCCACAAGCATCACCAACACCACAGCAGCAAAGCGAAGAATTTAATCAACAGAATCTTCGACCACATGGCCCTAGCCAAGCTTATCAGCAGCCAATACAAAAGCAACTCTCACAGAAGCGACAAAATACTCTTCATCGGCAACCATCATTGCAACCATCGTTAGAGGTTTTTTTCTTTTTTAAACTTTTCTGCTCATAAAATGAGTCCTTTAATTTAGTTCTATGTTTATCTATATAATTTCAGCCAGAAGAGCGACGTGGCAGTGTCCATGTGCAAGAGAGGAGATTATCGGATGCTCGAGATCGTTTCTCTCAAGAACCATCAAAGGATCGAACTGGTGCTTCTCCGCGATTTCTTTCAGAAATGCGTCCATCTGAAAGAACGAATGAAAGGCGTCGTTCAGTATTTGATCAGACATATGAACCTGATCATACCGACGGTGTGGAAAAAAAATCGGATGCCACAAGACGTAGGAGTATTGGTGATCGAAATCCTGTCGAGGTGATGGCATCCATTGATTACAAGGAAGATAATAGGCAAATTTTCAGTTTTTTTATCTTTTTTCTTTTTTTCGAAATTATCATATATTTCACTAAATGTTTTTTTCCTTTATTAAAAATGGATACTTTTTTAAAATTTTATATTTTTGTTAACGCTGTTTTCGAGAGAAAAATATCTTGTCATTTTTCTGGTCCACAGCACCAAGGCAAGGCTATTCATTTGCATACTTTATTCTCTTCTTTTTTCCATGGTCTCTTTAATAATCCCTTCTAATAAATTGTGGGCAATTTTGAAACATAATTTATGGTATTTATAATAATTTAAATAAATAAAAATAAAATAGTTTAAAATTAGATACTTTTATTTATAGTAATTTCATAATTATTAGCCATAATTATCCATTGCTAAGATTTTACTAATTCATTAAATGTATTAAATATAATTCATTAAATGTATTGCTTAATTAGCTCGGAGTCTATGTAAATCCTAGCTATGGTATTACATAGCATTTATCTTCATAGATAATTGGTGATAATTTTTAAAGCATTCTTTCATAAATAATGCATAATACAACTGCGATGTAAGTGCTTCTAGGCGTAACAATTTATCTGCTCATCATCATCATCAACAACAACAACAAAAATCCTCGGCTCAACCTTTTAATCCACCAATTAACAGGTTTATTTCAAATCTCTTGAACCATTCATTAGATTCACTATTCTATTTTCATTGGTTGGCTTCCTTCATTCATTACGAAAAATAATATGAGATTTTGGCATAAATTTTTTTCAAACAATATTGCATAAAAATTATATAAATTCAAAATTCAGTCGAAAAATTGCGCATTTTTATAGGTATCCAGAAAGTAAGCAAATAAATCGTGACGATCGACAGCGAAGCATTCAGAATGAAAGTGTTGATCGTGAAAGGTATAAGGAACAATTTTTAAATTCACCATAATTACGATAAATAATATATATATATGTGCAAAAAAAGTAGCTTTCGCATCTTAGTGATTTTTAATACGGAGGACTATTATTTGTTAAAAATTGTTAATTATTGTTGGTTGACTTCAAATGTTACTATAGAGATAATATTTGAGAAAGATGCTAAATGAAAAGAGTTTGGTAGTTTTCAGGACAACAAAAGATTTAATGGACTCTTCAGTGGATAGACCTTTAGCAAGCTCGAGTGCTGTACCAAATGAAAAGTAAATTTCGTATATATCATATCATTAATTAAAATTAACATAAAATGTTGTGTATCAAGAAATAAATGACTATATTATGAGAATTTCAAAAGATCACGGAAAGTGGTAAATCTAGGAAAGCAAGAGTTAAGAGTTTTTTTTTCTTGCCAACACTATAACCATTGCAGAAATTGGCCAAAAAATAAAAGAATTTCTCTTCTTTCTTCCAATAGCACTTATCATTTCTGGCTTGGCTAACTTGGTTGCTATAAAAATGAGACCGCTTTGCCAATGAGGGATTGAAATCCCTCATTGTGGGCCACTTGCTTCATCTAATTCACTTTAAATGACGGGTTTCAAATTTTAAATCATGGAATAGGAATCGAATCTGTTGGCAAATACAATAAATAACATTTTGAATAATTCATTATTCATTATTTTTTATAGACAATCGTTAAAAAATTTTATTTGAATTTGAATTATTCCGATTAATTAAAAACTCATAAAATATTCAATTAAAATATTTTTGTCGAATTTTTGTATATATTAGATTTAATGCATGCGACTTTCAAATAATATTATAAATATTTATTTCAATTGACATAATTAATTAATTTTTCAAATTAGAGTTTTTAGAGGTTCGCATGTTGGTGTTTGGAAAACTAATTCACGTTCCAACGATTTACGTCGTTTACGATCAATTCGTGAAAATGATACGAGAAAAATTGAGGTTTAATTACTGTCGAATAAAAAATGCGATTAATATAAAATATTCTAAAATTTTATAAAAGCAAAAAAATTTATTTGAATTAATTTATTTAAGTTAATTTTTATCTAAATTTATTCGAAAAAATTAATAAATAATTTAATAATTTTAATAATTAATAGAAATTAGTGAAAAAGTTGCTCGAATTGAGGCTTGGAATAGCTCAGTGGTTTATTGGCTTAATTCAGTGCGCCAGTGTTAAGGTTCCACTATTCGCAGGATTAAATTTGTCCAAAAATCTAGGTAAGGCTGGCGAATCACCTGTATTCCTATCGCTAAGGCATATTTGTGTAGTGCGATAAGCCAGTAGAACGAGTCTAACCAATAATGATGGGAGTTCTTCAGAAGAAAGTTACTCGGATTGAATTTATGAAAAAAAGAAAGATAATTTATTAAATCATCTTTATTCAGTAAATAATGATGAATTTATCAAATTTTAATAACTTTTATAAAATAAATTAAAATAAGGCAAAGATTTAAAGGAAAATATACGAGCCGTTCCTCCAACGAGTAATGCCACATTTTCTTTGAATCAAATTCGATCAAAAAAGAATCGACTTCATCGGTAATCGCTTCTTTAATGTCTTTCTTAATAAAATTAGCCCTAATTTTTTTAAATATAAGAATTAAAATTTAATTAGAATAAAAAAATTAGCGATTTGATCTAATGCAAACTATTTTGTTACTAAAGCATTCATCCAGGAAATCCATGCGACAAAAAAAAATAAGTAGGGAAATAGATTATCAACATAAATTTTCATTTATTTCGCTAAATAATATAAAATAATATTTTTATTAAATTTATTTAAGAATATTACTCAAAAATAATAGAAGTATTAAAAATATTAAAAATTAAAGATAAAAAAAAAAGCTTAATTCGAATAGAGTGCATTTTTGAAAAATCGAGTGGAATAGTTGAATAAGCTTAATATTTCTGAAACCATAATTCGATCTAATTTCCCGTAAATCGATCGTTAAGAAATTGGAATGATGCATCACATTTCATTAAAATCTAATGAAGCAATTTAAAAACGATAATTATCAGTGGTGATAAGGAAATATTAAAAAAAAAAGTTGTAAAAAATTTAACGCTAAAAATTAAGAAATTATTAATTATTAATTTATTATTATTAAAATTAAAACTAAAAATTATTATTTGAGAAAAAGCCGATACTTTTTATTATTATTTAAAAATTTAAAATTTAAATAAAAATTCGATTCGTATTTGTTAATTATACAATTATTCCTTCTCGTTATGTTTTAATTGTCACCATGGAATGGGCAATAAAATTTGCCTTATTTATTTAATTCATTTATAACATATAAAAATTCTATGGAACAAATACTTTTTGCTAAAAAAGTTTTAGTTTAGTTTAGATTTTCTGTGGTTATTCCTCCTCTCATTTTAAGTATATTGTTCATTTTATGAATTTAACTTCGGAATTTGCATAGGACGATTCTACTGATAAACAAATCTTATCAATTTTGTATTATATTTATCATCTCCAAGTTATTGAATTAGTTTACTTTTTTGTTCCACATTTTGTCAGTAATTATCAGTAATCTCCACTTATCATAATTCAAATTTCACGAATTCTTTTTTTTTTCTTCTTCCAACAATTTGCTGATTTCGTTAGTTTCACTGGACGACTATTTAAGACGTTTCCAATACGCAATACTTTCCTGATTTGTGGTTGTGATTTAGGAGTATTTTAATTCGACTCGAAGAAGGAAAGTTATCCATTATCAGTTATCCAGTAAAGTGAAGATAAAGTTCAAATTTCTTGATAAATGATTGTAAATTAAAAGTTAACTCTAAAATAAATCCATTGTTGATCACAGCTTCTCTCTGTTTCATCGAATGATTTCCGAGGTTATTGGATGATAATTCTTTTACTTGTTCATTGATCTATCTATATTGATTTCGTTCAAATTTTTCACCTTACTAATCTCCGATAATTATTCGCTCATTTGCATATTTGCTTCTTTCGAGACATTCATTTAAGTGATTAGGTAACAAATGAAAAGAAATGAGAGAAACTCTCGTTCCTTTAAATAATTGATCGCGATTTGAGAATATTTAAATACTTATCGTTCTGCTCGAAGAAAGAAGAAAGCTATTATCAATTATCTAGAAAAATAAAGATAAAATTTAAATTTCTTGATAAGTAAATGAATAGCGCTCATTATTTCTGGTTGGAAAGTCACCGTTCTTTGTAAATCATTTGAGGATAGCAGAAAAATAATAAAAACTATAGGAGGGCAGTTTTTTCATCAAAATCAGTTCAATAATTGATATTTTTCTATTATTTATAACGAATAAGAGATTTGGAAGTGGTGAAAGCGATTTTAAGTTAACCAAATTAGTTTTTTCTTTTCGACATTCCAATAGCAAATTCATTTAGACAGCCACATTCGATGTCTTCATCGGAAGATGAATTAACGTCGACATCCGATGGGCATAGTGGTGAGGAATTATTTTCGAGAGCCGATACAGAAATGACTTCCGAGAAAGGTAACTAAAATTCTAATATATTCGCTTGGATTGGTTTTTCTCAAAGGATTTCTTTGATTTTAATTCAAAATTTCGGAATTCCCTTGAAAATACTTCGAAATATAATTTTTGAAAATCCCTTTTAATTTTCAGAAATTTTGCGCTATATTTACGGTCCTTCAAAGCTACGTAATGGGAAAAAATGTTGGTTTTCTTGGTTTTCTTAATGAAATTTTTGGTTTTCTTAATGAAATTTAATTTTCCATTAAAATTTATTTTAAGATTTATCTAAATTTCGCTTTTTTCATATTAATTTCATATTTTAAATTTAAATTATAAAGTCATAAAATTTATTTATATTTATTGCATTATTTTTAAATTATGTTGGAGTATAATTTATATTTATTAGTTTAAGGTCATTGAAAAGCTTTGTGACTTTATATATTGCTCTATTATTATTCTCATTATTTATTAATATCAATTATTATAACTATTAATAATTATTGTTAATTATTAATTTTTACTATTATTATTGAATTATTCTTTATTTAAACTCGCTTTTTTAAATTGATTTACTACTACTATTATTTATTTATTTATTTATATTTATTGATTTATTACTTATAAATTAATTATCATTAATATTAATAATTATTAATACTGTTGATTGTTGTTATTTATTTATTGTTGTTAATTATTATTATTTATTATTATCATTATCTATTATTATTATTGAATTGTTCTTTATTTAATTTCGCTTTTAATCTTTTATATATTTTTAAAATTTATAAATTTATGCTTAGAGCAGCGAGTTGATCAAATGAAAATTTATTTAACTTTTTAGCGAATCGCTTAAATTCGTTAAGACTTGGTAGATTTGAGCTTAGACTGAATTTTTCATAGAAAACTCTTCTTCGAGATATAAACATTGTTGGATATTGGAAATGCTTAAGAGGATATTGAAAGATTTATTGCGATTCAAGCAAGTTAAAGTTCCGGAAAAGTGCTTCGATGTTTTTCTTTAAATTTATCAGAAAAAAAGGGAATCGGCAAAGATATTCAATAAAATATAAAACGATAAATAAGCGTCAGGCTAGAGTCGTTTAAATATTACTTCTAAGGAATATATGATCTCATAAACGAAATTTTTATTTATCAACCATAGGTTTGTTTTTTCTGGATTTAATTTAAACGAACATTCTTTAATGCAATAATTTTCTTCTTTTTAATTTAGTCTAAGTTTTTACCTCACCATAATGTTCTTTATGGTAATTTATCAATTTTCCGCTTACATTTACACTTTAACTTAATCTGATAATCTTTTTACTATTTTATTTTAACTTTTTCAATTTTGCTGGTTAAACTCGCTCCACTGGCTTGTCGCATTGGGCCAGAGAGTTCCCTGACGATAGAAATACAGGTGAATCGCCAGCATCACCCGGATTTTTATACAAGCTTACGCCTGCGGGGAATCGAACCTCAGCATCAGCGCTCCCAATTGAGGAACAACCCACTAAGTCATCTAAATATAATATTGAACGAATGTTTTATTTTCATGATTCAAGAGGCAATAAAGCCAAATGATAATCTATCTAGCAGCCAATGAAATCGAATGAAAATCTTGTAGGCTTTTAGTCTAAATTATTGTATTGCCGATTATCGATGGCTTAGCTTCTACAATCTAAGTAACAATAATAGTAAATCATTAAGAAATTTTGGTGCTTAAAGGATTCAACTATGCTTCTACTGCTTCAATTCAAATCATACTAGCTCATTGGCAAAAAATTTCAATCATGCAAATATTCAAAAAATAGAAAATAATGAGCGCCAACGTCATCTTATTAATCACCTTATCACTAATCATTTTTATATAAATTATTATTATTTATTTTTATATAAATTACATTTTTAAAATCTTTTTACTAAAATTTTTTTCGATTTTCCAATATTGAAATTTTTTTATTTATATAATATTATATTGTTTTTTTGTTATAAGCATTAAGCCTTCTTTCCTTTTCAATGCCTAAGTAATACGCTATTGAATTGCCACAAAAATCGACATCGGCATTTGTTCTAATAATTTTCGCGACTCTTTTTTTCTCTTATTGATTTCATTTGTTTCTTTTTATTTTATAATTATTTTCCTATATTTATATTTATAAATATTCGATTATTTTACTTATTTTTATTTTTAATTTTTTTTTAAATATATGAATAAATCGATCAAAATCGAGCAAAAATCTTCGCTACTTTATATAAATTTATATTTTCTATTTATTATTAAATATTATTAAGTTGCTTTAACAATGAGTTCGGATGGATTCAAGCATATGGATTCGATGCATGTCGATGGAAATAGAACAAAAATTAGCTGAAAATTTTATCCTTTATAAAAAAAAAAGAAATGGTTTGCAGAATATGAATATTATATCTAATAATATTAATTAATAATTAATAATAATAACAATGATAATAATAATTATAATAATAGTGATAATAATATTAATAATAATAATGATAATAAATAAATTAATTTGTTTTACATCTGATTTTTTAAAATAACATCTGACAAAATATTTCATCCATAAAGGTAAAATTGTGAAGAAAATGTACAAAAAAAAAAATTTAAAAATAATTCTAATACTTTATAAATTTTTAGTGAAAATTATAAATTTATTATAATATATCTATAATAAATTTTAGCAATCACTGAATCAGGTCGAAGATTTCAACATAGCACTGAGGTGATAAATGCACCAATGCAACATTCAACAATATTACCTGGTGATATGCTTGCAGCAAAAATACGAACTTATCTATCGGTTAGAAGAGAATTTTCATTAAAGCTCTTTTAAAGTTGTAGAAGCAATCTGCCTTTGATCATTGATGTAACATTTCATCTCATATGGATGCATTCATCTTTGCTCGAATACCACTTGCATTAACAGTGCCATCACAGAGTGTCCTCTTCGGTTCTTTGTCGCCCAAGAGTTGACATATTTCGTTACTCGCTAAACCTTGCAATGGATGGCGTCAAAAGCGAGAGTCCAATCAAAGCCTGGACTGACATAATCAGGAAAAATTTTGAATATATAGGAGGACCAGCGATATTTGTACTTAGATGACAAAAAAAGGAATGGTTTCTATTAATGCCGATAGTGGTATCAAATCGCACAGCTTGGAGACGTCTTATCCCGGCCCGTGGTGCCAGCCTAACCAGTATTGGTGAGAGGATGAAGATGAAGGATTGTAAGATGAAAAATTAAAGTTGCAAAGATTATACGAAAAACGAACTGGTGATTAAATTAAAACCCATGGAGTCGAGGCTTTTATAGCAATAATTTATATAATTTTTATCAAACTCTAGTTGATATTATACAATTTAAGCATCCGGTTACATGGCAACCTTCAGCAGATCAACGAAAATTAATTGGGCATATGATATTGCATAAAACTGATGGCGTATATGGTGATTTAGGTTTAAAGGTCAGTCTAATAATTTGAATTTCGATAGGCGATTGACCTCAACCAATTCTCAAGAAGTTTTTTTTAGGTTGTGGGTGGAAGGAGAACGGATACGGGTCGACTTGGAGCTTTTATTACACGAGTTAAGCCGGGTTGTATTGCTGATACAGTTGGTCATTTGCGGCCAGGTATTTCTGTTCTTAACGTCATTAACAATTGAGTTAGCCGTTCAAAATTTAGCGAACTTAATGATTTGCCATAATATACCTGCAGGCGATGAAGTACTGGAATGGAATGGCCATCAACTGCAAAATGCAACTTTTGACCAAGTTTATGAGATTATCAATTCTTCTAAGAACGATGTTCAAGTTGAATTGATCGTATCTCGCTCAACGAGGTTTTATCTTTTTTTATCAGTCTCAAAGAGAATAGCTTAAATTGAATAAACGAATTTCATAGAATCGGTGAAGTAATAAGTGAGCCGTAAAAATGGGTTTAAAAAACATTTCGATTATACAAAATAAAGTGATTAGTGATAAGAATTAAAAAATAGTTGATTTAATGGATCTTCTGAAGGATTATGAAGATCCAAAATTATTGAAAGAAACTGGATAAATGATGGTAGCTGATTTTGCATCAAAAATACTTTTCTGAAATTTGATGACCATGAAATATTCAATTCCATTAATTTCAGTATTCCCGGTGGTGATGATTTCTTAAATTTACACAGAGTGCCGTCAGGTTAGTTCCACTCTACTAGCATTATTTCAATTCAAGAAGGTAAATCTAATTCAAGAAGCGGGCACTTTTTATCTCTATAATTATGGTTTTTAACTTTTTTTAATTGGTTTTATTTAAAAATCACTAATTTTATTCAAAAGTATTAACAAGGGATTTTATAAAATGAGCATATAAATTGGTAATTTAGTATAAGTACCATATTATTTTACGGCATTTCTTTGATCATAATGGATTCGACTCTTATTCATCGATGGGGTGAAATCAATTTTTAGTGTATTCTCCACGCGATTATTTGCTAAGTGGCTACGATGAGCCTACGATTCTACCACATTCACAATCTGCTGTGATACCTAGCCAAATGCGAATATTGCCAACACCACAGAATATTAGCTCAGTTTATAAGCCTATGAATATCATATATCCTCCTGGTTAAACTTTTATAGATCTTTTAAAATATTATTAAATTTTAATTTTTAGTTTTCTTGCATGTAAGAATAGTTTTAATAAAATTAATAACTCATGAACCACTATTAGCCAATAGGTGTGAATTGCGTCCGGACCAGGTATTGTCCAAATTTTCATATTTTTGAGTCGCTGTTGGATATCAGCGATTATGATTGGTAGCTGATTCCTGGTCTGGGATGTTGCAGTGATTTGTTCTCAAATCTTGCAGTCATTTTGCATTATTGCGAATCTTTTGCTTCTCATATATTCTTCCAGTTTCTGTTGTTAATGGCTCTACTGTTACCATATTATAAACGATAATTTAATTTAATTTGGTTGATTTTCTTATTATTACTTTAAAATTTTTAATTTAAATGATAATTTTAAATGATAAATGATAATAAATGATAATTTTGTCTATTTTAGAACCTTCAAAAATAGCATTTTCTGATGAGATGTATCGCGGACAGTGTGGCAAAGGCCAAATTTTCGGTCGAATTGAGGCAAATTTTTCTTTTTTATTTTCTAAATTTTGAAAAGACTATTAATAAAAAAAATCTTCCTAAATCTGATTTTACTTGTAAGATTTTTTAATAATTTCATATTGACCATAAATTATAAAGAATTTAGTAAAATTTCTTTCAGTTATCGTTATATTTCATGGCTAAAGAACGACAACTTGTGGTGACTATAGGAAGAGCTATAGATCTTCCTCCAAGATCCGATGGAACTCTAAGAAATCCTTACGTTAAATTATTCTTATTACCTGATCGAAGGTGAATTTTTCGATTGGACTTAGATCTGATTGATTCACTTATTTTATTACTTATTGCTTATTTTTATCATTTTAAATTTCTTTTTGAATTTCACTTTAATATTAATATATTTTTAATTTTTCGAAAGTCTAATTATTATTTTCATTAAATTTATTATTTATTATTATTTTCATTAGATTTTTTATGATATATGAGCCGCATTTTTATAGTACTTTTATTCATTTCGTAGGGTCACATAGGTCAAAAGAAGCAGTCTATGGTATTTTAACTAATATCTTAAATATTATTAAACAATAAAAAATAATGCTTGAAGCGAAAAAAGTCGTCGTCAATCAGCGGTACTCGTTGAAACTTGTAATCCGATTTGGAATGAACCATTTTACTATCATGGTTTCACTGAAGCAATGCTAATGGAACGTGTACTTGAGGTATTCTTTTATTCACTTTCTTATATATTCAATTATTTTGTTCAACTTTTATCATTGTCATTATTTGATAAGAAATAGATAATTGTGATAGATGTGATATTTATTCTCACTATACATTTCGGTGAAATAATCTAAAGGTTTCACTTTTCTCAAAGGAGCCTATAGCCGAAGAAGGCTAAGAAAACTTTTGATTAAATTAGTTATCAAATCTATCAAATTAGTTATCTGAAAACTGGAGAATTAGTTTTTCTTTATTATACAGAAATAACAACTTATGGAAATTTATTTTTTATTTTTTATTCGTATTTATTTTTGATTTATTTGCAATTTTTTTTTTAGGTCACCGTATGGGATTATGACAAATTCGAAACAAATGCTTTTCTCGGTGAAACATTAATTGACTTTTCGATAGCACAATTAAATGATGAACCATTTTTATATACGTTGGTTGATATGGATGAAGAAAATCCCCTTCGAGCGGTATTCTTTTTCTATATTTTATAATAAACAAAAATTTAACAAACATTTAATGTATGAATATCAGTTGATTAATTGCAGTTATATATATATTTTTTTATCAGTTATTTTTTATCAATTTTTTTAAATTAAATATGTTTATATTAAGCATTTTATTTATTATTTTATTATTATATGTTCAGAGGAATTTTAATGAATTGGCCTTTTAGAGATTGCGCCATCGAAAATACAGTACGTACTACTCATCCAGTCGGCCAGGAAGTGAAATCGGATTCTATCAACCAGGTCACTATGGCATGGGTAAGTTGATTGGCATTTTCGCTGGGAATTATGCTTTTATACTAACCAGAAAGAATAATGTCAAATTTGTCGAATTTTTTAATTGAATAAATTATTATTATTTGCAGATCTCGAAAGTCCTAGTGTATCGGATTATAATGAATATGGTCCTTATCCAGTACGCTCAAACCAGGTAAACAAGATTTCTTTGTTTAAGTCTCAAATTTTCTCCTTCATTTTCATATTTAATCCTCATTTTTTTGTTCTTTCACAATATAAGAATGATTATTGTTTAAACTATTAAAGTGGTTCAATCCTAGCAAGAATTAACCTTTCACTAAAAAAATCCTGGCGATATTGGATCCATTTGTTCTTTTATATCCACTGTGATTTCATGGCTAAATTATGTCATCGTACTAGTTAGCTACTGGAACAAGCATGATAAGAAAACGATTCCTAAACGCTTAATTACTTATTTATTTAAAAATTAAATAATAATTTCTTAGCTATTGCCACCACCAGTAGTTATGCGTAGATCACGAACTTATGATCGCTGTGGCATGCGTGTAGAAGATGACTGGACTATCCACAACACATCTGGGTATCTTTCTGATCATGGATATAATAATCAGGTACCAACTAGACTACATACGAGAGAACGAAGGCCTCGTTCTGCAACAACAATGCGACCTGGTTCTTCTTTTATTTTTTTCTGAGATTCAATTCATATCAATAAATAATAATAAATATCCTATCCTAATGATAATGCTATGGTTCGCGTAATATAGATAAATAAGTATGTATGATATTTAGCCAACAATGACGCAGAAATTACAAGTCCTAGAGGATATAACGAAAGTGGAGATCGATGGTGCAGGGAAGAAGAAGATTCAATCCATTCTCAACGAACATCTCAAGGTTCATTTATTAACATTAATTTTTAAGGATTAAACCATAATACTGCTGGACAGTATTACGAATGTATTTTCGTCTTCCTTTCGATTTTATCCAGCTGTTCAATTTTACCCTCATCAACTATTGTACATAAGTAGTATTTATTAACAACATAGGTATGGCAACTCTCAAGATTTCGCAAGGTCCACGGTCATCAAGAACACAAGAACAACAATTGAGTTATGGTAGTGATGGCTCTGAAACTCTAAGCATCCACTCTGCACAAAGTGTACCATCGAGGTATTTTTACTTGGATTTTATCGAAGAACGATTAGCAACGAAATGCATTAAATATTATAAGATTGATAACAAAAATTTAGAAATCCACGTCGTATGCCGAATGGCGATACAGATCAGCGACAAATGTTACCACAGATCGAGAATAGCATTGAAGAATATGTTGAAGAAGGTGCAACTAGTGATCCAGTTATGACAAAATCTGGCATGAAAGAACGCAAGAAGGGTTTAATGACCAGATTAATTCCGGGAAGAAATGCGCCATTAGGTATATTTTACAAATTTATGATAAGACTGTAAGAATGACAAGATGATTGAGGAGATTTTTTTTTTATCATCTGATATATCTTTTTTTTTCGAAATGAAAGATGTTTCACTGTTGTTTTAGAAGGCAAACGAACTGGTTTTGCAAGGTCTGAAGAAGTTGGTGTACCAGAGGGTCTTTCTGTACCAACGGATTATTTCCAACCGCCATTCATAAAACAAACATCGAAAGAATCAGATTCTGCGTATAATGACAAGTAAAATTAAGATTATAAATTGAAGAATAAGAATGATATTAAATGCAAAAGTTATTAAAATTTTTTCAAATTTATGTGGAATTTATAATTTTTAAATTTACAATTTATCGTTCAATTTTATGAGTAATGTGAAGAATGAAAAAAAATTGAAAAGCTGGATTATATCCAAATAAAATTAATTTCAGTTGGGGTCCAGTTTTGCCTGAAGGTCCATTAGGAATTTTTGTGGACAATCTTGGACCGGGACAGGTAAGATTTCAGCATTATCGATACTAGAATTTTTTCTAAGACTGCATAGATCATCAAGATTTATTTAAATTTCTCCGACTTTTTAGGTTGTCGGAAGGCAAGTTCTTGCTAGTCCTGTGCTCGGAGAGATTCAACTTGGTATCGCTGCCGGAAGGACGGGAATCGATGTTGAAATAATCCGTGCAAAAAACTTAGTGGTTAAGCCTGGTGTGAAAGTCAATCCTGGTTGGCTAATATGAAAACTCATTTAAAAATTAAATCATCAGAATCTTATCATTTTCAAATGAAAAATGAAAATATTTGAGATGAATTATCAATCTATAATTCTTCATGAATAATTTATTATATTTAAGAGGAATTTTTGAAATTATTAAATAAATATAAAATATATAAATATAAAATATAAATATAAAATAATGTAATTTGTAGCGCCTTATGTGAAATTATATCTCATGGAAGGAAAACAATGTGTGGCAAAAGCTAAAACAAATCCAGTGAGAAGGACTACTGCACCATTATTTCAGCAACACATTGTTTTTTCTGAGTCACCGCGTAAAAAGATGCTTCAGGTTTTCTCTTTATAAATTATATATTTGGAGCGTCATTGCTTCGACAGTGAATGACCTCAAGCATCATGCTTCAATCCTTAGACCTGGAAAAAAAATGAATCTTATCATTGAAAATCAAATTTTTGACCCCTATCTTCACCTTTAAATGACTTCCTGATGAAAGAGCTTTTGTTTTAGCAATTGAGATGAAACCAGAAATGATGAGTGATGTAGTTCGAATGGTTTGTGGAATAGAATAAAAGAAAGAATTTGTTTTTTTGTGGGAATGATTCAAATTTTATTTTAGGTAACAGTGATGGGTGATTATGGAAGAATGGAACGTAAATCGTTTATGGGTATCGCTCAAATTCGCCTCGATGATCTTGAACTATCTATGGAACCATTAATTGGATGGTACAAATTATATCATAGTTCAAGTCTTGCTGGTACAGGCCCAGTTCGAAAAGATAGTGAAACCAGTCTCAATGATTTAAAGTAGTAAAAAATGCTTAATTTTTCTGTCTGAATTCCGTTCAAGTCAAGAATTTTGCCTATTTTTTCATAATAAAATAATGTTTGAATATTATTTGCCACTTAGATTATGGTAAGCCATAAATAATTTGAGCAATTTTTTTTGTTTTTATTGTTATTATTATTAATATTTTTATTATTTTTGCTATTACTGTTATTTTTATTATTATTATATTATTCATTTTATTATTATTACATGTTCTTTTTTTTAAATCCCATTAGTTTGGCTTTAGTCTTGGCTATAATTCTTGAGTTTCATCTTGGCCTCTTTTATTTCTTAATTTTAGAGATGATGAATTTTTGCAACTGTAAAATTTTCCCTACAAATTTTTTTTTTCAAATATAAAGAAAATTTTTATAGCAGTTTAATCAAGCAAATTTTAGCGAAATCCTCGTCACTCACCAAATAGCTTATTGCACTTATTACAGAAAAGAAAGGAGGTGAAATATTTATTACCTCCTCCTAATTCTTCTATCCAAATATGTATTCTGATTATCCCGATTAAATGATAATAAATGATAACGCTAAAATTTTTATTTTATAAATTTTCTATTTTTTAAAATCATGGTAATCATTTCTGATAAGAAAAAAAAGTGATTAATGTGTGCATTTTCTCGTTTATTTATTTGTATTTGTGATGTTATAAGTGTATTTTTTACAATTTTTTGCAAAATTTTTGAAAATTTGCAAAATAGTAATTTAAATTACTAAATGAAGTGCGCTTATCACAATTTTATAAAACGTGAAAGTGCACTAAATGCCTCGTTTAATCAATTCAAAATTTTAAGTATCCATATAATTTTTAAAATTAAATTAAAATTCAATAAATAAATGCCTTTATTTTGAAATTTACGAATTTTTCTCCTATTTTAAAAAAATAAGGTAAATGAAGAAAACTTGGCGAAAATCAGTAGTGCTTGATTATTTGACCCATATCGCCTTCAACGGCAATGTGAAAAAGAGAGGATATTTTTATGAGCGCTATTACTCGAAGCCATATAATCGAAAAATGCCCGAGAGGTGCTTCATGGTACTATTAAAGTACTACTAAAAACCACATCCTTCAGTTCATTCATCATCTTCACCATCTATAATGGGTTTCGAATTAATCTGGCTAAGTTCCATTGATAATTTTATTCTCAAAATTATTCACGCGGTCTTTTTCTTATATTTATTTTTTTTTATTGCTCTTCCATCATGGATTGTTATACATTTTAATTTCAAATTACGGTTAAATTATTGTTAGATTATAGTTTATCTTATTTTACTATTTTTTGTGAATCTCGAACTAACTTCTCGAACTATTTGTCGATTAAAATTTGAATTGCAAAAAAGAACGCATTAATTTTATGTCACATTCATAATTTTTTTTTCAAAACACAAGATAGCAATAATTTCAATTTTATTTTATTTTTCACAAATTTTATAAATTTTTTCTATTTGCCATATTATTAATTATGCAAGGCATTTTTTCATTTATTTTTTCTTAATTTAGTGAAAAAATGCTTTTTTTGTTTCACTTGATTCGTAATGCTTTATTGCATTGAATTAGATTTTATTATTATTTCTATCATTTATTTCTTTCTATATTTAAATAATTTTTCTTTTTTTTATGCTTATTGAAATGTGCTAAATGAAATAATTTTCAAATAACGATTTCATTAAAAATGCCTAATTGTCAATTTGTCAGTCTCAGTTTTACTATAAAATTTATTGCATAAATAAATAAATTTTCCTTCTATTTAGGCAATATTTAAAATTTTTGCTATAATTGGCAAATTTAAAAATTCAAAATAAGAAAAAAAAATTGTCAGATTTATCATTGTTGTTAGATTTTTGATATAAATGATAAAACCCATTATATTCAATTTTAAATAGAAACCAAAGAAATTAGTATTGTTAAACCCCGAAACCCTGACAATTTGTTAAACCCTGACAAATTGTTAAACCCCGAAAAAGGAAGAATTTCGAGTGAAGATATTGCATTTCTAATAAAAATATGATTATTATTGATTATTAATTAATTACAATTATTAGCGATTATTATTTTAGTGTGCTGTAGATAAATTAAATGATAAATGGATGCGAATGATAATTCAATGATAATGATCGTAACATTAGAAACATTATGTGAAGTCAAAAATTTTTGAACAAATTTAAACAATCTTTCTTATCATTTTTTGGGTCAAAAATCGGCCACCGTTTATTTTTTCTGACAGCAAAGCCGTTTTTCATATTATCAGTTTGATAATAAGATTAAAAGATAATTTTTTGCTGATCTGAAACTCTTTCATTTCCAAATCTCAGAACCAAATTAGATTGGCTGGTTGTTGCATGAAATCTACTTGCTAACGAGTATCATTTGATGATAAAAGTATTTGTTGGTCATTAAAAGTCTACAAATTATTTTAATGATAACTTCACTTATGTAGGAAATAGAATTCGAATTTTAACGCTTAAAATATATAATCTAAGCTGTATTCAACTACACTGTTTTCCTCAGCAAGAAGCATAAAAATTTGAAACATAGCTTGATATTGCATTAAGCACCTGGATCACCTGGATTTTTTTATGACGTGCTTACTACGTTAGAATGAAACCTCATCGTCGAAAAGCCAATTTTTTTCCTTCTAACAGCTCTCACTATTACTGGTTAGGCTCGCTCCAACAACTACAAGGGTAAGACGCTTCCAAACGGCGCGGTCTTATGCCATTCTCGACAGTAATGGAAGCCATTCCTTTTTCCATCGTCTGAGTCCACATATTGCTGGTCCATCTATACGTTCAAAATCTTTTCTGACCGTATCACTCCAGGTCTTGATTGGCCCACAACATTATTAATGTAAGTGGTATTTGAACGAAGTGATCATTTGATTTTCTACCCACGTTGAAGAATTAAAAAATAAGATCTTATTCTTATTCTTATTTGTTGGTCATTAAAATAAGAAATAAAAAATAAGAATAAGAAAATTTTCCAATATTGAGCAGTTATTTCTATTCGGTTATTATTTTTTTACGCTTTTTTTCAGAATATTTTTAGAATTTCTATAAACTATGAACTAAGTTCTTTTTCTAAATTTAAGAAAATAAATGAAAAGAATACATGAAATAAAATATATATATATATAAAAGAAATGAATAAAATATATATATAATTTATAACAATTAATTATAAAATAATTAATTATATTTGTCCTTGACAACCTCTCAAAAATCCGGGTGATTGCTGTGGAACCACCTTATCTCCATCTTCTATGGTGAAAGAATCAGACATTTTTCGTCGAAGAGCCAATTAAAAAAATAAAAATGGGTTTCTAACAGCACCTGAATTTTTTCCATGATAAACTTACCTCTCATTGTGCAAATGCATAAGATTGCATTTTGGATAAAAAATAAGGAGAAATTCACCTGTCAAATGAAATTAAATTTTTTAATTGGTATTAATTTTTATTTTAATTTTATTTTATCAATTGTGGCAAATTGAATATATTAATTATGTAAAATTATAAGAAATTCAATTTTTAAAAGCCTTTTTTCACCATATCATTTATTATTATTATTTTATTATCATTTTTTTATCACTTTTTCTTAGCAACGAAATTTTACATTAATTCAATTCATAAAAAAAGAATTCAAAAAAAGAATTCAATTCGTTCGATAAAAACTAAAAATTAAAATCGTTTTTAATTTTTTCTCTAATACAATATTTATTTTTAGCAAATATTATTTTTTTGCAATTTTTATTTCTGATTAATTCTGAAAATGGGTATTCAATCGAAAAAAAACGACCTAAATGAAAGGCAAATGTAAAATTTCTTAGATTTCGATTTTATAAAAAAGTACTTATTGGAGCGATGTCACCTATTCGATTTCTTCTTCTTATTCTTCTTTCCATTGAAATTACATTAACGATTTCGAATTTTGCAGTAAGTTTTTGCGCACCTATTTGTAATAACATAAATAATAAAATAGAGAGAATTTAGCCTAAACAAACAAATAAACAATTTTGGCTTATCTTATTTATACTAAAAGAATGATAAGAATGATAAAAACGAAAAAAATATAACTCATATATTTGATAAGAATTTACAGTACAATGGAATAACTAATGCAATAATGCCGAAACGCCTTAACGCTATTAGTATTACTATGAAGGGCAATCATAGCCAACCACTTAATTATCGTAATCGTGCTGGCTCATTTAACAGAATAAATAGGGTAATCCAGTGGAATTCTTATTTAATTTTTAAATTAAAATAATTAATTCTTTTTAAAAATATTTTTGAAATCTTAAAAAATTTAAGCGCTTGGCTAACCATGTTTATTAGTTCTATGGGCTCGATTAATCATTATTTTAAAATTCTTTGAGCCAAAGCCATATGAAAATAGAAATAATGCAATAGTGGATTTCTAGCATTTACGCGAATTTTAATTTTAACCCTCTTCAAGCGAGTGGGAACCGAATATTTACTCGATCGAATGTTTACGTTCATAACTTTATCATTTATCATTTATCATAATTGAAGAAAAACTGAAAATGTTATGAAAAACTTTCTCCAAATCAAAATCTTTTGATTTTAGTTAAAATTTCTTAAACGGTTCAATCTAAAACTTCTTACGAATACATCAAATATTTTTTCACCGACTAAAGCACTAAGAAGAATTATAATACAAATGCGTAAAGCACGTTTTAACGCCGTTCCAACAATTAATTTATCAAAATCTGTAGTTAGTGATTTATTTACTTTATTTTTACAAAATTAATACAAAAATAAATTTTAAAAAAAAGTGCAAAATTAATCAATTTTATAAATTTAAATTTAAATTTAAATTTAATTTATGAGTTTAATTCAGTCAAAGAATTAAAATTTATTTTATGAAATTTATTTTTTGAACTTATATCTTTGAATATTAAAGATTTTGATTCGATTGATTTGATTAATATTTGATATTTAATATTAATATTTGATATTTGATTGATTTGAAGAAATAAGAAATTTTCTTATCAATCATTAAATTATTAATTATCATTCAAAATGCCTTTATCACGGATAAACTAGGATTAAAAATTTTCACTTTAATTCTTAATTACTATTTACTTATTTCTTATATTTTTTATTTAAATCTATTTAATTTAAATTATTATTGTAAATGTATTTGAAATGTATTTGATTTTGCTAATTTATCAGAATTAGTAATTATAATAAAAAATTTTAGTAAAAAATCAAAAAAAACCAAAACAAAATGGAAACCGAACCAAACTGAACCAAAATCTCGAATTAAATTAGCTTTTTTTTTCAGCAACCAGACAAAAATCAATATGATATGAAATTTTGCGAATCGATTAAAAAAACAACTAAACATTATGGCTTACGTGATTTTCCTAAGTTTGCACGAAATAACTGTTCTATTATAAGAATATATTTCCGAAAAGTTTCCTGTGAAGATATCGTTAATATTGCTGATTTCTGTTTTAATAAAAAATAATAACAATAAAATGAATAAAAACAAAGGAAAATAGAAAAAAAAATTTCCTAGAACCAAATAATTTGAAAAAATTTTACCAACTAACGAATATTGAATTAATTTCATTGAATATTTTCTATAAATATATAAGAATTATTTATTTTTTACATATGATTTTACGATTTTCCTTCTTGAATTTATTTCATTGAATTGAACCGTTCAATATTTATAAAAAATAGAAAATTTGTAAAAAATTGATAAAAAGATTGATAAATTGATAAATAAAAAAAAATATTAATCCATTCCAACGAAATAATAAAAAATTCAAGGATGTTAAAAATAAAAACAATGAAAACATTTTTAATATAATTTCTGATAATTTATTAAAGAACAGTAAAATAAGCAAATAATAAACAAAAATCCATTAAATATTTACTCTTGCATTTCTTCTTCTAATCCCCCTGCCTCTGTTTCATTTTTCGATTTCGGCTCCCAAAGTGCATTTCTTACAAAACTACATGCAGCGAACTGATTTAGGCGAGGAGCATTTGGTCGTTCTTCGATTTCTTTCAACCTTTTCATATAATCTTTTATTCTTTTCTGTAAAAATTTTAAATTTTACTACGAACTTCACATTTTATAACGAGAAAAAGAATGTGTAGAATGTGTATTTGCGTTATTCCTTTATAACCAAAAATGAAAAAATAAATAAAGAAAAATAAAAATAATACTAATTAGTCCCCCAGTGATATTGCCGATTCGGCTATACTTCCATCGCCAAAAAAGACACCCAATGGCAAAATTTATCTGAAAAGCCCGCAGAGCGGGCCTTACCAAAAATAATAATAGCTCTTAAAAAAAGCTAACTAGTTCATTTTCCAACAATTCACAATCTTTCGGATTCTTGCCATTAATACAAAATAAAATCCACGAGAGCGATGTAACAGTGAACACTGACATCAAATCGAGATGAGTTCGATCCAATAATGGCTTCTAAGATGATTAAAATAATTTATAAAATTTAATGAAATTTCAGCAAAAATAAATAAGAAAGAATAAAATTATCGATATTTTTAAAATTTTTCAATTTCCAATAAATTTAATTCAATTGATCAAATTATACTTTAAATTCTATCCAGTGAAATTTTTTTCCTTACTTTCCTACAAATTTGTTTTTTTTTTTTTTAAATGCTCACTATTTCTGGTTAGACTTGCTCCACCAGCTTGTCGAAAAGACAAATTTTGTCATTTGGTGACAAAAATACGGTAAGTAAATTTACTATTATTAATAAGGGAAGGAATAAAAATTGTTAATAGAAACCATTCATAAAAAAACACTTTTCACTTTCACTTTCGGGCAAACAGTCAGGATGGGTTTTTTGAAAGGCAGGTTTACTTCTGCGAGGAAAAAGAAAGTATGGGCGTCCTGAAATAAGAGCAACAATCCATTCAGCTATTCTATCCCCTACTATCCCGTCAAATAAATTAATGCAACCGAAAACTAATCAAATAAATTGAATATCCATGATAATAAAAATAAAATCACTCATAAAATCGTAATATATAAATTATGACATGGAAAGTGATGGCCAAAGCAGTACCAGTGATAATTGGAGGAGATAATAAATAATAGAACTGTGACCCCTAAACTAGAAAAATGACCTTAGCCGATTCTAGGAGCAACAGAGATTTCTATCCAGAACAGCGCTAGGAATAGCTAAGGAACACTCCAAAGCACTCTCAAACTTCTCAACCTCTGATAGAGATTGACACCCGAGACTAGGAATAATTCTCACCACCCACAATGAGAAAGGGGTAAAATAAATTGTTTACAGTAAAACCTATTGTAGGAAAGAGGTGACTACTGATGGATTATAGTATTAAATAGCAATATTGAGAATCCTCTTCGATTCTTATCCGCTCATCGCACTTCTTTCACTATCGCCAAGTGACTAACGAAAATCTCCAATCGTCTAAATAGGGGATAGAATGGCTTAGTAGGTCGTTGCTCAATTGGTAGCGCCGATGCTGAGGTTCGATTCCCCGCAGGAATAAACCTGTACAAAAATCCGGGTGATGCTGGCGACTCACCTGTGTTTCTATCGCCGAGGGACTCCCTGGCATATCCGACAAGCCAGTGGAGCGAGTTTAATCAATAATGGTGATAATTCTTTTAAAAAATCATCTAAATAATCAACAAAGCGAGAATCTAAAAATCAGACAAACGTTTATCATTTCTTAAAATTTGTATTTGTAAAAATTTTACAAAAAAGAATTAAATTTAAATAAATTTAATTGAATTTAATTAACTTTCAAAATATTTCTAAAAAATTTTTGATAAATTTAAAAATTGAAAAAAACCTTTTCATTTTCTTCATATTGCGTTGAAAGAAATGGTTCTAAGCATTTTTCCAAATCTCCCAAAGAATTATTAAAAGAAATTAGCTTATCAACAACTTCTTTTGGAATCGAGTCATCCTCCATTCTAAAGCACGCGACAATAATATGAAGGAAGCTGAGAATTAGAGTAAATGCGGTCGCATTTAAAATGCAGCGCGGATTATTAGAGTTTCGAAAACATTGAACTGAAATAAAATGAACTATTTGCATGGTTCATGGATTGTGAATATTGTTTTGTGCCAAACTTTGACATGTGAAAAATTTTTTTTCAGGAATTTCACTAATTTAATAATGAATTCACTCTAATATAATATTAAAAAATTCTTCTCATTTTGAAAGTTTTATATTTTTTACATTTTTATATAACATTATATTATAACATTTTTTATTTTCCGACTTTTAATTTTTTTCACTATTTTTTATTATTTTTTATTATTTTTATTATTTTATTCCAAAAAATTATTTGAAAAGTCGGAAAACATAAAAAATATAATATTACATAAAAATGTAGTAATAATGCAATAATATAATATAATGATAAAAGTATAATAATAAGAACAATAATAATAAAAATTTGACTTTTTAAATATTTATTTTATCACAATTTTTCAAATGAGATTAATCTTCATAATGAGATTTTTTGGCGATCGGTACGAGACATTTGAACACTCTGCTTTTAAAGAAGAATTCTTCACCAAAGAGGTCAATTGAGGAATGGAATTATAAATAGTTTCGCAATCAGTACTATTTGAGTTTCATTTTTGTTGGTGCGATTTGCACGATTTTGCATCAAATCAAATATGCATCATCAGCTGATTTTATCAGTCATTATCAATTGATCAGCTGATTTCTCGTTTGATTGCCTCTCATTGGATTGGCTTTCACCAATTGTGCTAGAAATAGCGATGAATCTTAGCATTATCGCTTTCAGTTTCATTTCTAGCGACGATTTTTTCCTCTTCCTCACCAAATTTCACGAATCGAATTCATATTCGTTCATCTTTAGACGAATTGAAGCGTAATAAATTATTAGCGCACCAGATAAGCGACAAGTTTCGACACGTTCGATTACACGTTTATTTATTTTTGCAGATATTTCAATTTGTCGTTTTTTCGAATTTTTTAAAAATTTATAAATTTTTCTTTTTTATAAAAAAGAAAAAAAAAATTCAAATGACTGATGCTTTAAATTCTGAAGTTTCGAAATGTAAATTTGATATTTCGCATTTAATGCCAAAATGTGAAACTCAACAGATAAGTCTTTTTTCTTTTTTTCCAGAATTTTTTCGTAGTGTTTAAATATTTTTTTTCTAGTAAAAATTTTTGAATGTATAAATAAATAAAATTTTTCTTTTATTATTGCTGAATTTTTTATGAATTTGAACATTTTTTCTTTTTTTTTCGATATTTTCTTATTATTATTTTATTATTATTATTATTTCGTTTTAGGAACAGTTCTTAACGAAATATCCCGAATATGATGGGCGTGGAATATTAATTGGAATACTCGACACGGGCGTCGATCCCTCCGTTCCAGGTCTTCAGGTATTTTTCATGTTTTATTTTATTATTTATTTTTAGATATTCCAAAAAAATCCAATTTTTTGAATTAAATTTTAAATTTAAATTCAGTCTATCTTTGAATGTTAGCTTTTTTTTCTTTAATTTCATTTATATTTTTTCTTCAATTTTATATTTTTATTTTTTATAGTTTTAATTTGTTACACTTCGCTGATCTTCATTGTTTGCATCTTTGTGCATATTTATTTTCATTTGATCATCTATTATATTCATTAAAAAATCCGTAAAAAAATTGAAAAATTGAAAAATTTTTTTTCGTTCAGTTAAGCCATTTCATTTGTTTTTTTATAGGTTACGAGTGATGGGCGTCGTAAAATTGTTGACGTAATAAATTGTACAGGTGCAGGTGATGTCGATACGTCAACTGTTAGAACGATTGAAAATGGTCGAATTTTGGGGCTTTCTGGTCGAGAGCTCAAAGTATTTTTTTTCTTTTCTTTTATTTCAATGCGATTCTGATTCCAATTCGTGAAAACTCGTTTTAAATCAGAATTCTACGTTCAGGAAATTCTTATATTTTTTCCTAAAAAACCAGCAAATTTAGATAAAATGGATTTAAAATCTTAGAGATTGATTTATTTCGCGTTTTCGATAAAATAGTCGTATATATGTGATTTTTTGCTTTTTTGTTTTCCATTCACTTTTTTTTTCTTTTTTCGTTTTTCTATTTCTTAGTTGTTGCTTCATTTTTTTTTAGCCTTGCCAAAATGACCTATTTTCGACCTATTACGAGTTTTTATCTATTTTGTTTCGCAGAATCTTCTTTATTCTTTTTTTTAGATTCCTGAAAGCTGGATCAACCCAACGGGAAAATACTTTGTTGGTATAAAGCCAATTTTTGAACTATATCCAGATAGTTTACTTAAGCGAATGAAGGTTTTCATTAAATTATTAAACTGATGAAGATTATAATGTTTATTTGCTTTTGCTTTTTTTCCATATTTTGAGAATTATTCATTGCCGAATACCAATTTAAAGATTTAAAATAATAAAAGAAGCCTGGTGCTTTCATTTTCAGCTTTTCGCTTTTGTTGTAGTAAGGCTTATATTTTTATAATTAAGGTTTTGTTTAAATATGATATTTTATTTTTATAGAAAGAAAGGAAAATGGAATTCGACAATATTCATCGGGCGGAATTGGGTGATGCTCGTCGACTCTTAAATGCTCATGAGGAAAATGTTGGCGCAACTTCGGATAAAATTGTATTGTTTTTATCGTTATCTTTTTTCACCTAGAATGATAATTATTTTTATGTTCGATTATAAGCATGAGGTTTTTTTCTTTTTTTCTCATTCCAATTTTATTTTCTTGAATTTGTATAAAATGCGATTCTATATAAAATTTTTAGATCGACAAGGAAGAACGCGAAAATCTTAATAGTTATGTAGAATTACTAAAGAAATACGAGAATATGGAAGATTTCGGTCCAGTTGCTGATTGCATAGTATTCCACGATGGAGAAAAATATAGGTAAACTTAGATTGATTTTTTTGTTCTATTCTTTATTAGTCAAAAGTTTATAAAAATAATTATTATTATTTTGTGAATATTCATTATTGTTTTAGAGCGTGCATTGATACTTCGTTTCGAGGTCGTCTTAATATGGTTCAATTATTAACTGATTTTCGTGAAAGTGGCGAATATGCTCAACTTTCTGACAAAGGTTTTTTCATTGTAAATAATATTTCTGTCTTTTATTTCTGTCTTTATTTTTCTTTTATTTACTTTTAAAATAAATTTTATTTATTTATTTTAAAAATCATTTCAGATATGTTAAACTATAGTGTGAATATTCGCAATGAAGGTCGTTTATTGGAAATATGCGTACCTTGTAGTAACCATGGTACTCACGTTGCAAATATTGCCGCAGCATATTGTCCAACGGTGCTTATTTTTTGAGTACTTGTCAAAAATTTTATAGATTTTTATGTGATATTTCATAGTGATTAGTATGTCCAATTTTAGAATAGCAATCATTTTGGAAGGCTTAAAAATATTGTTGTGGGAATTTTGATTTCTTTTTAATTCAGGAACCAAAAAGATCAGGTTTAGCTCCTGGTGCTCAGATTGTATCTTTATGTATCGGCGATAGTCGCCTAGGCACAATGGAAACAGGGACAGCATTTACAAGAGCGGCAAGTTTAATTAGTTTAACTAGTTTAGTTTAATTTTTATAAATTATAAATCCATAATCTAAATCGAAATATAATTTATGAAAAGACTATTAATCAGGGTGATTTTTCGTTGAAGTGATAAAGATGAATATCCATATTTTTAAATTATTTATAAGGAATATAATTCTTCATTTAATTCTTTTGATAGTTTTTTTTTAGATTGCTTATTGTATTGAAATGAAAGTTGATGTTATTAATGTATCATATGGCGAAGCTGTTCATTTTCTTAATGTTGGGTAATTTTTTAAATGAAATTAAGCGGAATTTTCAAATATCATGTCTTTTTTGATGATATTCACGCTATTTATATAATAATTTGCTTCATTTAAGAGATATAATCGAAAAATTTGATGAAATGATTAAAAAACATGGAATTTTGGCGGTTTGTTGCGCTGGAAATGGAGGACCGGCTTTATCAACTGGTTCAGCCCTTGGTAGTACTTCATCTTATGCCATAGGTTTATATTTTTTTCAATTGCAATTTTTTCACATTTTTCAAAGATTTAAAATTTTTTTTAGTGCAATCTTTTATCTTTAAAACGAGTAAGATATCAAGTGCAAAATTTCGCTGTTTTAAATTCATCTAAAGAATAAATAAAATTTTTGACAATTCATATTATTTAGGAAAGATTTTTTTTTCTCGAAGAATGTAAAATAATCATTATAAATCTATAGGTGTTGGTGCAATTGTGTCCCCTGAAATGATGGAAACAATGTATAGTACTCGGGATCAAATACCTTCTACATTTTTCCAGTGGTCGTCGCGTGGCCCATGGTAAGAATAAGGAGATTGTAGACTTATGAGGAATAAGTTTATGAGGAAACCTATACAAAAATTCGCTTGATGCTGGTGACTCACCTGTACTTCTGTCGCTAAGAGACTTCCTGGCATATTTTTCCAGTGCGACAAGATAGCGGAGCGAGTTTAACCAGTAATGGTGAGGAGTCTTTAAAAAAAAAACTTAAGTTTGTGGGGAAAATGATTAGAGAACTTTAATTAATTTTGGTTACTTGGTTCTCTTTTTTAATCAGAAACTGTCATTTATAGTGCCGATGGTGCAATGGGTGTTTCTTTTGCTGCACCAGGTGCAGCGATAACTGGCGTTGCTAAATTTTCTCTTAGAGGAAACCAGCTATTAAATGGTACTTCGATGAGTTCACCAAATGCATGTGGAAGTATAGGTATTAAATTTTCATTAAAGTTGTAAAATTTCATGCAGTTTCAAGAATTTTTCTTCATTTGAGCAATGCTCTTTTCTCATACCGAATTTTCCAAATATAATTTAAATTTATGCTTATTTAAGTCCAAAAATTATATTTATTCTTTCCATATTGGAAAATTATAGATTGAATGCATTTTGCATATTTGTTATTTATTTCCAGCTTGTTTACTTAGTGGTTTGAAAGCGAAAGGAGTTTCGTGGAGTCCCTTTTTAATTAGGCTAGCGCTTGAAAATACTGCTGCTTTTTGTACAAGTTTTTGTCGCTTTGCTGCAGGCAATGGTATATTGCAGGTATTTTTGTAAATTTATTTTCTTCTTGCGTTTTTTTGCATTCATTTTCTTTAATCTTTAATCATTATATGGTCGTTGTCCTTTTGCAGTTTTTTGCCAGTTTTGCTTTAATTAATTATAATTTCAATTGAATTTTTTGAAGATTGATTCTGCTTTTGAATTCACCATGAAGCACCATAAATCAATTAGTCCATTGCTAACTAATTTTGATGTGCGAGTTGATGAAAACGGTAATCGTGGCATTTATTTGCGGGAACTTTATGAAACAAAAAAAGCTCGAGAATATAGTATTTTAATTGAGCCAATTTTCAAACCTAATTCAGGTATTTTTTGTTTCCTGCCGTTTTTCTTTAAGATAGCAGTATATTTGTAAAATTTGTAAAATTCATTTTGTTTCAGATAACGAAGAAAAAATTAATTTTGAAAAACATCTAGTGTTCACCTGTGATGGTTCTTTTGTTTCATATCCCAAAAAGATGGAAATGATTCACCAAGATCGAAGTATAAATGTTTTGATAGATCCAACCAATTTACAGCCCGGTATTGCGAATTTTACTCAAGTGAGAGCGGTTTAGATTTATATTTCTATATTTTAAGGTTTAAAAAAAATTTCATGATTCTTAAAAACATGGTACTTGACTTTTGTCTATCTTCTAAATATATGAGAGATATCATATTTAAATTGTCGTAACTAACAATTTATTTTTTCGAATCCTTTTATTTTCTTTATTTTCTCGGTCATGTTTATTTTTGCAGATCCTAGCCTATGATTCTGATAATATAACATTGGGTCCGCTGTTTCGAATTCCGATTACTGTGATTAAACCATTGGTTTTGGATGAATCGTGTCGTTATAAATTTATTCGTACTATACAATCTCGACCAGCTTGTCCCATGCGCTTTTTTTTTGATGTTCCTTTGGATGCAGATTATGCCTGTATGTTGATATTAGTTGAATATATATACAGGTACATACGGAGCTAGAATGGCTGAATGGGTTGTCGCTCAGTTGGGGTTCTATTGCCCATAAGAATAAGAATAAACCTGTCCAAAAATCAGTAATGGTAGGAATGTACAGTGCGCTTTAAAAAAAATTTATATATACATATATATAATACAATATATATATATATATATATATAATAAGAATTAAGAAATAAATAAAACAAAAGGAAAAATAAAGAAAGATATAGAAATAAATAAAAGATATAGAAGACCAAAGTCCCAAGTTAATTGGAGCACTTGGAAATGCGATCCCTAAATTAGAAAGGCTTTAGCAGATCCTAGGAATAACATTCAGAAAAGCGCACTGCTTGGAACAGCTCTGAATCTCACCGGTCCTATGCTAGGAGGCCCGAGGTTGAGGATGATCCTTATCATTCACAGGATGTGAAAAAGATTCTTTTAAAATTTATGTATACTCATGTTTTTTCATATATATATTATATTTATATTGTATTTATCATAAATATTTTCTTATTTTTTTTAGCATCAATTTTTTAGCATTGCTGTTAAAGTCAATGGATGAGCGAAAAGTTAAGATATATATTCAAGCAGTGCAAATCGTCCCTAATACAAATTATCGTTTTACAGAATTTCGTAAAGTTTGCTTTTAATTTTCGTTATTATTTAGCCTATTTTTAAATGTTAGTGAATTTTTATTTTTATTCATGGTGAGCATTTACTTGAATCTTTTAGTTGGTGACACTGGAACCATTGTCAGAAGTGTCGTATATAATCCCTTTGAAAAGTGGACGGACTATGGAATTATGCATAACAAAGACGTGGCAATACATGTTTGAATCAGATATTTCAGTTGAACTAAATTTTCGTGGTACAAAACCTCTGTCACAGTCTTTAAATTTCGTATGTCCTTATTTCTTAAAATTTTATCCTCTTTCATGTTTTTATTTTTTTATTTATTTATTTATTTTTAATAAATTTCTCAAGTTCTTGATCGTTGTAGCTGAGGGGATGAATGATGAGTGGAAATTTTTTCATTAATAATGTAAAGTTGGATTTTTGGATTTTTGCAGATGTCTAGCGAATTTGTACATACTTTTCATGTACGTAACATCAATTCTTGTTTTGATTTAATTTCACCTGCCATAACTTATCGCCATTTATTTCAACCAATACAACCGTCAGAATCAAAGATTGAACCACTATTACGAAAAGATGATTTAACATCTTCGGATGGGCCGCCGATGTTACGTTTGCTTCTATCGTATTCTTATACCCGTAGGTTTTTCTTAATTAAATTTCTTAATGTTTCGTAATATGTAATAAATATTCGTTTCGTTCGAAAGGTAACCGAAATGTTTATTTCTTTAGAAATCCAAGCCAGTGAAGTAACAATTTTCTTTCCTGGTATATCGCGATATTTGTACGAAAATTGTTTGAATGATGTCTTCATTATGATATTCTCACAGAGTATGGAATATATTTCAAGTAGCAGTTGTTTTCCAGAGAAGGTTTTTTTATTTCCTTTTTTTTACTTATTACTGGAGCCGAAAAAAAAATGCGAAAAAAATAAAAATAAAATAAATAATGATCATCGAAATTAAAGGAGTTTGTTGTCTAATCAGATTGAAATAATCGAATTTAATGCGAAAAAAATAAAAATAAAATAAATAATGATCATCGAAATTAAAGGAGTTTGTTGTCTAATCAGATTGAAATAGTCGAATTTTTTGAAAAAAAAAGTTTTAGTATGCCTTCAAACTTGAGAAAGGTGAATATCGAATTCGGGTACAAATTCGTCATGAAAATGATCAGTTGCTTGAAAAATATCGTGATATGCCTATCACGGTCAAATCGAGACTTCTGCATCCGATTAATGTAGATTGCTACTCTGATCTGCAAAGTTATTCTTTAGCCAGTTTTCAATTGGCCAATTGTTTTCTTTTTTTTCTTTAGCAATTAGTTCATCTAGCATCAACCATTTTTTTTTCATATTTTTTTCAATTTAGCTTTTACATCCAATATTTTTTTTCGAATTTCTTTTTTTATTTTAATTATTCTCTTTCTGTTCCTTTCGAAATTGTAAAATTCACTTTTTATTTATTTAACTGTTGGACTATTCAAAAATTTAATTATGGAACATCAGTAATTTTTTTAAATTTTGAAATTTATTTAAATTATTTGAATTATTAAAATTATTTGCATTTATATATTTTCATAGGGAATTCAGAAATTCTTAGAGGAAAACTTTTTTTGTATTTTTACTATTTATTTATCTTTTTTTTTATGAAACTAAAACATTTAGGTGCTGTGAAAGGTTCTGGGAAAAGAATAATCGACAAAATGATGAAACCTGGCGAACAATTAGTCGTATACTTTAGTCGATTATCTGAAGACAAGTAAGCCGTTTTTGTGTAATTCGATTGAGGATATTCTATATGAAAAATGAATTTGATGTATAATTTTTTCAATTTTTTGTCGTTTCGTCTATTCAATCATTTTTTATTGTTTTTTGTTCAAATAATTAATCATATTAAAAGCCATTTCTCATTTGTTCTTCTTTCTTCTAAATGATTACATGGCGAAATAACTAATTTTCAAAATGACTAAAAGTGATAGCAATTTTATGAGGAGGAGCTCTTTTTAATAACGAATGGAGCCAACCAAACCATATATATCTGACTATATATATTTGATTGAAATAAGATTGAAATAAGATAAGATTTATAAGATTTTTAGTGTAAATTAATTTTATTTCATCAAATTTTAAAATTTTTGAGATATTTTTTGAATTCTTCCTTTTCAGGATACCAAAAAGTGTAGTCGGTGGTTTCTACTTACACGGTATGCTAGCTATTGCGAAAAACGATTTAGTACGCAAAATCGTGCAATATCCGATTACATATGTGTTCAGTGAAAAACCACAATGGCACTCGAAAGGTCATTCCTCAGTAAACGTTGTAAAGAAAAAAGATGATGCTTTAGTTAATGGATTGCAAATTATGAATGGTAAATTTCAAATAAATTTTATTCCATAAATCTAAATCTTCTATAAATTTTGATGAAGAATTTTTTATTTTGACTAAAATTTTTAGATGCCATTCGCGACGTGCAAATTAAGTTTCTTCAAAGAGTGAATAAAACAGATGCAGCTAAAATAATTGAGCAACTCGCAAAGGATTATCCCGATTCAATAATGACTATGCAGTCGATACTTTCTTATTTAGTTAACAAAAGACAATCAGTAAGATTTTAATCCATAATTATCAATTGCTTAGTTTATTTGTCGAAAAAATTTGTCTTCCGTTAATCCGTTAATTCGTTCTCCTTCTAATATTCATTTTTCTCGTTTGGCTGGCCACACCCGATTTCTAGATTGCAAGTACTTCGTCTTTGGGGGTATAAATAAAGATGGATTATCCAATTCTACCTAAATTCTAATAAGAGGTTTTTTTTCATCAACCCACTTCTTTTATTTTATTTTTCCCTTATCTTTTTTAACACTTTAAGTTAATTTTATTTATCAAAACTTAATCTTATTTATTTTATAATTTCTTTTTTAAGTGATATGCTAATCTTTTTGTGGATATTATTGTTTGGTGAACTTTTTCTTTACTTTTGATTGCTTACAAGAAAATCGTTGTTAAAAATTTAAACCATCATTGCAACAATTTAGAATGATGTCGATGATCCCGTGAAAGCAGATGAGCAGATTTTCGCATTGATTGAAAGAATTCTTGTATTTGCCAAACCAAATGAAGTGCTTAAATATTTTGGAGCTAAAGGTCAATTCCTTGAGGCAGATATTGCACAAAAATCGTGAGGCTGCTTTCCTATAAATTTGCAAAGATTTTTAAACAAAATTTTCCAATTGTGATGTCGAAATAATTCACAAAAAAATATTGAGGTTTTACAAGAATAAAAAATAAAAATAATGAAATAAAAAAAATAATTTATGCAATTTTTAGAGAAATGGAATCGCGACGAAACGCGGTAATAAATGCTCTTCTAGCTAAAGCAAATTTACTTGCTGATAATCATTTGGCTATTTCTACCGAAGACATACCTAAGGTGTTTAGATTCGGTTTACTCCAGATGTGTTCGAATCCCAAATTATCTGTCGATTTCAGTAAAAAATCATCTGAGGCCGATTTTCAGGTTATTATTACTTCTCAAAAATATTATCTTTTTTTATTTTTTTAAATCAATCAAATAAAACTTTAGTTTCACTATATATATATACATATATATTTTATAAATTCATTTTTAGATATTGGAAGACACTAAATGTTTAGAACGCGAAAGTTCAGACGTTCAGAAAGGAACATCGGGAGGTTCTTCTGGTGAATGCTGCTACCAAGTGCTTAATTTTATCAATCAAATGGAGAGTGCTGACTATGAGCAACCTTCTCCAGGATCCGTATATTTTTTTAGTATTCACTTTATAATGACTTTAATAATTCCGTTATTCGAGTATTATCTTATATTGAATTTCGTTCACTGAATGATTTCTTAGTCTTTCTTTTACTAAGAACATAATTACTGATCAAGCTTATGCCATAAAGATGAGGTGTTTTCATAATGTTGGGTCCGATGCCAAATTTGAGAGTAAAGCCACTCCTTTCATCTTTTAAATCTTTATATATCATCACTAGACCTTCTATCATTCATTCTCGTTTAATTATGTCAATCCAGTTTTTCATCGGTGAGCTGGAAGTATCGAAATGAATCTTCTATACAAATAAATTATCATTTGTTTCAGAAGGTGACTTTGAAAGAAGTTGATGCAGCATTTTATGAAGTTTTAAAATGGATTGATGTTAATGATAACAAAGTAATTTATTTACTATTAAATTTTATGTCTTATGTTACAAATTTTTCTAACTTTTCAATTTATTGCACTCTTACCTTATCAGCTATTTTATCAGTGGAGTTTATTATCAACAAACTTTCATTATTAATAAACTTGTTTAGGTTCTTTTGCTGAAAGTTAAACATGCAGTTGCTCATGCACATTTTGGTTTGGCTATTACTTTTTTGCAAAAAGCGGCGGACGATAAGGCATATCCAAAATCCATATACATAGACGTGGCTATTGCTCGGGTACTTTCTTACTGTACTTTCTTATTTTCTTCTTTCTTTCTTATTATCACCATTTTAAACATATTTTAAAAAGTATTTTAAAAGAACAAGTTTTCAAGATGAATATTATCCAGAGCCGGAAATGGCTTAGGTTAAAATCCGGTCGACATTATGCTTTGTCGAGTAGCAGCAGTTGCAAAGCGATGAAAGAAAGGGGAGAGGAGAGGCTAGGATGGCTCAATGGAGATCGAGGAGGCGACACTGAGGCCTGATAGGAGTAAAAATCGTGTTACTGGCGACTGATTTCAGTCGCCAAATGACTAGCTGGCAAAATTTATCGGATTCGAAAAGCCACCAAAACGCGTCTAACCAGCAGTGACGTTCGTAGAAAAAAATTGAAGCCTCAATAGCTCAGTGGCAAGATAACTGCTAACAGGAATCGAGGCTTGGGCTCGTAATCCGCTCCTGCATTATCCTTTGTCAAGGGGAACTGTCGAAAAGCAAAAGGAGAATAGAATGATCAGTGGGCTTATTGCTCAATTCGGAGTGCTGATGCATATGAAATTCTACTCCCTGCAGGAGCAAACCTGTCGAAAATCCAGGTAATGCTGGCGGCAGCTGTATTTCTATTGTTTCGCTTAGGAAATAAGGGATTTCCTAGCATATTTATCTAGTGCGACAAGCCAAAAGAGTGAATCTAACCAGTAATAGTGAGTTACTGTTTAAAAAAATTTCTAATATATTACTTTATAGCTTGTTGCGCATATCGGTTGGACACATATATCGAGAAATTTGCTCAATCATATAGTGCTAAAATATCGGCATCAGTATCGGCTATTTTGAAGAATCGTGTAAAAAAACAACCCTCAATCCAAAAATTTATTTCGGTCATAGAGCTTGAATATTTTAAATTTCTCCAATTTATCCGAGTGTCTCTTTTTTTAACTTTCGTCCATACAGATTCTATGATACCGCCATAATCCTACCTTTATTTTTCTTCAGGCCTCTCTAAATGATCAGTTATTTAAAAATTCGCTTTTATTTTTGTTGCATAAAATAATATTTTATTAGTGGCTAATTTTTTAGTGGAGAATCGTCCGCTAATTTTTTTTATAATTTTTCATAATTTATGTGGCTTTTGCATATTTTATTATATTTTCATTTTTATATCTTTATTTTTTATTTTTTTGTATCTTTCGTTATCTTATTTCGAAATTTTAAACTTTTTTTAGAAAATGCTTTTCACTTATCAATTTAAAAATTATAATTATTGAAAACTCCATGACCATGAAATAAAAATGTTCTTATTTTGCTAAACTGCAAAGCATTAAAAGAATAAAACATCACTGTATCTCGGGAAAAAAATTAGAAAACAAAGGAGATCGATTATACAATTAATTCATGGAAAAAAAATCTGTTCATGAAGTAGTAGAACTTGAGGAAGATGATGAACTGGCACTTGATGATCGAGACGATCTAAGCATTTTAAAAAATGAATTAAATCAACATCAGTCGAATTTTAATTTAAAAAATGCAAATTAATTAAAAAAATTTGAACGTGCATGCCGAAACAACTAAATTTTTTGAATAATTTTATAATTTCTTTAGGAGATCTAATGATAAAAATAAATTAGACAAGGAGGGGAGATATTAAGCAAAGAAATATTTTTTTTTTTTTATCTTAAAAACTTGTTTAATGTCTCTTGCAATTATTGCTAAAGATTAAAATAAAAATAAGTGATTCATATATTTGCACAATGAAAAACCAATTAAATTCATCGAACTTACCTCTTCCGATTGGAGCTGCGCCGGCTGTGTTCGCTGCTGCTGCTGGTGCTGCTTGAGCTTGAACTTGAGGACGATGAGCTGCGGCTGCGTCGCTCACTCTGAATTTTTTAATCATGTTATTCAGGATTAAAATTGAAAAGTTTGTCCTGTAACCTCATTTATTAATTTTACCATTCCGCATTTAAGGCCAAATAATTTCTCACTGAAAATAGGTAAAAATAGGTGATATTAATTTCATAAATTATATAGGGCCACCTCTCTTTACCACATAATAATAACCTTTTTCCTAAATCTATCTCGACTCTCTGTTCGCTGTCTCTTTTCACGATGTCTTTCAGTACTTCTAGATCTTCTAGATCTTCTTTCACGTCGAAGTCGTTCATCATAAAGAGTTCTTCTGTCGACATATCTCCTGTGATAGGCAATGTATCCACGGTAACGCCACCTATCCCGATCAGCTGATCTTGATCTGCAATTATCATTAAGTGTTTTATTTACAAGCGAACTTAACAACCAGAAAAAAGCTCTAAATCTGCTGGCAAAATGAATATCGAATTAAAGAAACAATCAGAAATAAAGAAAAAAAAACATAAAGTACCAATATGTTCAAGACATATTTTCATTTTTGAAATTTCTCGATTTCTCACTTGAAATTTTAAAAAATCACCTGAGACGCCTTGTTCTTGAGGACGATCTATCTCGACTTCTGCGCCAACCTCTACTTCTATCGCGTCTGTTTCGACTTCGACTTCTGCTACGTGATTTTCTGCGTGCACTGCGATCACGCTTTCTGTATTCGATACTTCGACTTCTAGTACGCTTTCTTTCACGAGTTTTATCTCCAGCAAACCGTCGTTCATCACCGTTTCTACTTCGACTACGGGATTTTTTGCGATCTCGACTAACACTGCATGATTTTCTACTTTCTCGACTAAGTGATTTTTCACGGTTTTTGCTAATATTCTGGGATTTCTTATCAACAGAACTACTATTCTTTTGCATTATTTCGACCTTTTGCGAAGCATCTTTTGTCTTAGTCTTGGAATCCACCCCTAAACTGCTATCAAGTTGTTCATTTTCATGATTTTCCGTAGTAGTTTCACGATGATTTTCATCGATTTTTGCATCCGCTGTACATTCATGTTCAAAACCATGTTTAATGGTTAATTTCTCTTTTTCAATAATGATATCGTTAATTTCAGCGCCAATTTCTTCCATCTGATTATTCTCGACACTCATATTCAAATTTTTTTTGCTTTTTTCATTCCCATCATCCTCATGTTCTTTGTTTTCTGCTAATCGATCTGCATCGAAAATACTTTCTGCCTTTTTATCATAACTATGCCTAGCATTGTTCTCTTCCTTTGCCAATTCAAGATTTTCGACATTTTCAAATTTTCCCTCGCTCGATTTTGATGAATGCTTCTCAATTCTCTTTCTAATTGTTTTAGTATGTTCAGTTTCAATATGTCGTTTTAACTTATCTCGTTTCGGTAAAATTAATGATATATCTAAAAATAATAGTTTATTATATTAAAAATAATAGTCCATTATTACAATATTTTATTTCAATATTCATTTGAATATTCATTTGTTAATTATAATTGAAAAATTATTACAAATGACCTTTCAGAAAACAGCCGCACCAACCACCCACATGGGACAACCAAATCAGAAAGGATAAATAATAGATAGAATTCTTTTAAAATAAAAAAATCTTTCCCATCTCTTGTAGATAGCAAAGATTGTTCTCAACTTCGGATTCTATGTCAGCGGCCTGAGAGACTGAAGGTTCCATGCAGTATCTTAGCAGTTTCTAGCAATAGGTCCTTCAGGACAAATCCCCGATGTTATTCCTAGAATCTGCTAAAGCCATTTTCTAGTTTAGAAGCAAATTATCAATGGGATTGCTTTGGCCTTTACTTTCTACATCTATTCTAGTTCCTCCTTCAGCCTTTTGCGTATTCCATTCATCCTAACTCTAGTTCCTGGTTAGTATTGGTTAGTACCTACCACCAGAAATCACTAGTGATTCCTAATTCTTGTCCACTTTATATTTTATATCATATTTTATATCCTGCCATTTTATGTTGGACTATCTCTGGAGCATTTTTGCATATTTGTATCCTGTCTAGTGTGTCTCTTTGTTTCAATGGATTTTTCAGTACCTGCTTTTGTGGGCTATGATCAATGCCCCAGTTTTACCTTTTAGTCCAGCTTTTTTCAACCACTGAAGGATTTCTCAATGTTAACTATCCTAGCTATCCGTTGATAGTACAAAGCATGGATGGCCTTACTTTACTTTTTTTGCTTCGGTGTTTTTCCAATGTCTATGGATGTTTAAAACATCCTCTCACCAGCTCATCCTTTAATATCATACAATGCTATGGATTTCCTTCAAAAAATGATTTTGCATTCAGCAAGCCCCATCTGCCTTCCAACTAGTGTGGAATCTTCGATTGCTAGATTTGAAATCGAAATTTTCATGCTGTGAGAAATTTCCCGGTCTTCACATCACCTCTATAGGTGGAGATAAGTTTTTGGAGAGTTTCGCCAATGCGATTCGAACAGCAGGTGTTACATTTCATATTAATCGCCTGCTTTCGCCATCTTGCCAGCGACATATAATTAGCTTTTTCCATATAATAATACAGATATACCCTTCTGACAAACAAGTTAATATAAATAAAAGAAATGAATACAGTGAAAAAAAAAAATTTAAGAAAAAAATTGTGGAAAATGCTAGAAATTACCTTTCTGTGAAGGTTGATCATCTATTATCGATGAAGAATCATTAGATTTTTTTTCATTAATTTCTTGAACTTTTTCATCATGGATATCGCTTCTTGACTGATACTCCAGTGAACTGTCATCAGGTTGCTTCGATGATTTATTCACCTAAAATTACAAAGCAAAAATCATTTTGTCAGTCAAATGGCCAAGAGACAAATCAAAAAACCTTTTCTTGCATTTTCATTTGTTCTTCGGCTTGATTAATCGTATGTCTGCTCAATTCTTCCAAAGATTTGTTTTTATATGATTCATTTCCATGTTTCTTTTCCTTTACCGATTTCCTGCTCGGAACATCATTAGATTTTTCCTTTGTTTCATCAATTTTTGAATTTCTGCTTGATTTTGTTGCACTTCGCTGAATTTTTTGTCAATTTAAATGGAATAAAATTATTTAAAATTCAAAAAAATTAAAGTACATATCGAAAGTAAAGAAAATTCAACAAATTTACTTATAATAAGAAACGCGGTTATACACGTTACGCACAAAAAAAAACTTTTCTATTCATCACCCATTTAAATATAATAAAAAAAATCATGAGTTATGATTTGAAGGATTAACCAACAAAAATAATTAACCAATAAAGATGCGATAAACTTTCTCAATTCTCAAAATATCCCCTGCCTGATTTATATGAGAATTGGTTACTATTTTATTTGGCATTAATGAAAAAATATCTGCATATACCTATCTATGCATTTTTATTTTTTTAAAAATAAAGCAACTCAATTATTAAAGTAAGCGTTATAACTTTATGTGCATTATAAACTATCATCAAAAGCAGCTTAAAATTCTCGCAACGATAGATAATTATTGGAAAAAATTGTCTGGCAGGTTAAGATCATTTTGCTGAAAAATTTTAAAACTTTAATTTTATCTGATACTATTTAATCTGATTCCTTTAAAATAATTTAAAAAATATAAAATTTGGTTTAAAAAAACAAGATGATATTTATGTGAACAATAGTAAGACATCTTTTATTCCAGACAATTTCAATTTCCAAGAAAATATTAAATAAAATTCCAAAAAACTTTACTTCTCGACCATGATGAACTGAAGTTTTGGCTGATTTTTCTAGATTTTCCCTTTTTTCATCAAACGATTCTTCAGTTTTTTGTTCTTTCGTTCGATGAACACGCTCCATATTTTGATCTTCATTTTTTTGTATCGATTTTCCTTTTCTTTCGTCTTTTGCGATTGCTGGAGTCTCTGGGTCATTCGGTTTTATTGTTAAATCATCAGAGGTTGATCCATGGGCCAATAATTTAGCTTCTCTCTCTTTTCGAACACGTTGTACTTCTTCCAACGACATGATTCGATTCTAAAAGAAAAATAAGAAATCAAATGAAATAAAAAAAAGCGGAAATGAAGCATGGATAAAAAAATCGATTGTTTTTAATATTTCGCTTAAAAAGACGGTGAATAATTTGTGAATAATATATTTTTTCAGAGATGTTAAAATACCTGTTCACGTCTCCAATGCGGCGGAGTTCTACTACCGTCACGATCACTGCCATCAGGTGTACGGAACCTTAATGTACCTCGACCCTTAAATTCAATAAATTATATTTCGAAATACGACACAAAATTAAGAGATTATCAAAACTATTCATTGAATATTTAAATTTTAAATGCTTCATAACGATTCTACAAAAACGCAAATCAAATAAGAATAAGAAAAAACACAATATATCTACCCTCATATATTAGTTAATCATCATTTATAAAAACCATTCATAAAACATAAGAATACTCAACCTTGATTTTATGACCAGTACGCGTAAGGCGTAAACGCTTTGTTGGTCGATTATTTTCATAACGACGGGAAAGACGATCATTCTTATCACGGTCTTTCGATTTATTACTATCTTTATTCTTTCTTTCAGGAGTTTTTGAACTGAAAATTTGGCGATGAATTTTTAAATTAATTAGGTCTAAAATAGAACAACAAAATCCTGAAATAAAAATATATACAAATTACAACAGATTCATACCGACGCATCAAATATTTATTGTGATGTTCAGGATCTTGAGGAATTTCCTCCAACTTTATACTAGAGAACTGAACTTCTGATGATTCAGTTGCTACAGCATCGCCAATTTCCATATGATCAATATCAATCTCACGCTTTCGCTTTTTATTTTTTTTTGTTTTTTTTCCATCTTCCACTGAAGATGATCTGCAATAAGCAAAAAATTCTTAGGATGAACTAATTTATTGCTGAGAATAGATTTACATGGATGATAACAAATATTAAGCAAATTTTTTCATATTTTCATCACATTAAACTAAGAATAAATTAACTCACGACTTGGTAGATTTCGGAGATTCACCTTCAGATCCTCTGCGTTTTTTCGATTTTCTGACCAATTCACCACAGTTCAAAATAACTACATCAGCTAAAGGGCGATTTTTGGAATTTGTTTTCAGATGCTCTATCTTCGTCACTACATCTTTGCCGCTTACAATCTAGTAACATTATCAGTAAAACAATGAAAACGATATATTTTTTAAGAAAATTTTTTGAAATTAATAAGAATAATTAGTTATAAAACAGAATTAGAATTATTTCTTAAAATGTTTCAAACTTTTCAAATTTTGAAACATTTTTTAAAAAATAAAAATTTTTTAAAATTTAAAATTTAAATTTAAAATTTAAAATAAAATGAGTGCATAAAAAAATAAAAAACTAGAAATTAGCAAAACAATGAAATGAAACAAACTTTGCCAAATACAACATGAACACCATCGAGATGAGATGCGGTTGTTGTAGTTATAAAAAATTGTGATCCATTTGTATTTGGTCCTTTATTAGCCATAGATAAAACAAAGGGTTCGTCATGTTTCATTATGAATTCTTCATCATCAAACATACCACCATAAATAGATTCACCTCCGGTGCCATCACCTTTCGTAAAATCTCCTCCCTGAAATAGGAATTGTAAAATGAATAACAAATATACATATTCTCTAACAAAGATCATTTCAGGCAAAAAAAATAGAAAAAGAAATATGGCAAAAAACCAAAAAATGTCAATTCATAAGACATCGAAAATGAACAAAAAACAATAAATAAAAATATAAACCAACCTGAATCATAAAATTCTTAATAACTCTGTGAAATGTTGATCCTTTGTAATGGAGTGGTTTACCGCTAACTTTACCTAAACCTGCAGTACCTGTACAAAGAGCGAGGAAATTTTGACAAGTTCGAGGAGCGACATCATTGTACAGTTCCATAACGATGCGACCCGCTGAAGATCCATCAATCGCTAAATCAAAAAATGCTCGTTTTCGATCTTTTTTCGACATGTCTGTCTTTCAGCAGTTTTACAATGAAATGTTATTCTGCAAAAAAACTTTCGATTTCAATTCATCAAATTCATGGTCGGCGCCAGTGCTTTGGCAGTTAGGCATTACCCGACATATAAAATAATTCAATAGTTCTATCGGTTTTATTTTTTATTTTTTTTCAATTTTCAATATATTTTTTCTTTTCTTAACTATTTTTAAAAAAATTAATTTCCTCATTATAAATAAAAAACACAATAAATATTTATATTTATAAATATGTTTTATGGGCTTCTTTCTAGTGGTAAAATTTTTTTGAGTCCAAACATTGCTGCTTTCAGAAAGCAGAACGGCAAAAGAATACCTAATCGCCTAAGGCTGTATAATTGGTAATTGGCTCTTAATTCGTCAGTACTTCAGAAATTAGAAATTAATCTAAAATTTTAATTTTTTTCTTTAAAATGAATTAATAATAAATGAAAGTAAATTTGATTTAATATTTATTTTCATGAAAAAAATCAAAATTTTCGAAATTGTTTCATAAAACCACAATTTTAGAAGATTTTTGAAATATTTCGCGATTATTTCAATAATATTCTTTCATAAAATATTATAAATATTAAAGCAAGAAAAGTACATCATGAAAGAAATATTTCGAGCGATTCGAAAGATCCAAAAATAGCGCATTTAGTATATTCCTTCATGTAAAAATAAAATACGACTTATTTTCACTTAAACCTAGTTTAAAATAATCGAGAACTCGAAAATTATCACAACACATCAGATTGTTAAATCCACAGAAATTCATATAAAAATTTCAATTTTCAATTTCAATATGTATCAACAGTTTGGCAATTAGGCATTACCCGACAATATAAAATTATTCAATGGTTCTATCGGTCTTATTTTTTATTTTTTTTTCAATTTTCAAAATATTTTTTCTTTTCTTAACTATTTTTAAAAATTAACTTCCTCATTATAAATAAAAAACATAATAAATATTTGTTTCCTGGGCTTCTTTCTAGTGGTAAAATTTTCTAGTGGTAAAAGTGGTAATAAAATTTTTTTGAGCCCATTGGTGCTTTCAGAAAGCAGAACGGGTAAAAAAATATTAACTTCAGAACTAATAGTAGGAAAAGAGGAAAGAACGTTAAAAACGAAAAAAGGTTTCAATATACGAACGTAAAGGAGGACCAGCGATATATGGACTTAGATGATGGAAAAACGAATGACTTCAATTACTAATAGCGGTGGTATCACATTGCGCAGATAGCGGAGTCTTAACCTTTAACAAGCCTAACATGGGAACAAATATCTTATTCTCGCAGCCAGCCCCGCTTGAGGACGTCTCATTCTCGTAGACATGCGAGCCTGGAGATGAGATGCCTTATTCTCGTGGCCAGCCGAGCTTGGACGCGCTAACTACGCTTGTAGTCAGCCAGCCCGAACCAGCAACGCTGAGAGCTGTTAGAAGAAGAAGTAAAGACAAGCCGACCATGAAAAACGTTATTCGCTTCATCTAAATTTCTATCTCAACCGAGTAATCGTTTGACGAGAAAATTAAGCCATTTCATTTATATCGTTAATATAATTTTATCGTTACACTTTTTAAGATATTTTCCACTATTATTTTATTTAGAAAATTTATTGAATTTCTCATAAATATCTCTTTAAAAAATATAATAAATATAATAAAATATAATTTTAAAATTAAAAATTATTTCCTCGAAAATTTTAGCGAATAACGATAAAATTAATTAATTAATTGAATGAAATTAATTAAAATTAGCTCAAAAAAATATCGCTTCAAAAAAAGAAACAAAAAAACGACGAACAATTTAGTCAAACTAATCATTCACAAAATTTTTTTCACAGAAAAATTTATAACAACATTCATGAAAACACCGTATCTAGGCAATCGTTTCAAGACCAAATCATTTTCTAATTAGCACGATGCTAAGTGTGAAGATCCTGTGGAATCCGTTGGTCTATTGAACAAATTCCGCGTCAAAATCGGTCAAAAAAATAGTTGTTTTCATATAGAATCATTTATAATTGAACATTATATTGTAATTCATGGAGCACAATATCATTCAAAAATAATATTAACAATTGGAAATGAAATTGGGAACTCATTAAAACAATGAAAAATATAATAATACACCGACAAGTACCACAGCAATATAATATTCCGACAAATACCACAAAAATACAAGATAACCGACAAGTACCACAGAAATTTATCTTAAAAAAATTAACGTCTTTTTTTCTTTTTAATCTTAATTTAGAATCTTTTTAAAGAAGTCTTTGTTCTAAATTTAAGTCTAAATTTGCTAATATTAGCAAATTTAACGGAACTACTTTACTTTTATTAATTTATTATAGGGCAAGCTGATCAAAAATTCTGGCGATAGAGCGAAATAATGGCTTGGTAAAATATAACTATAGCAAAAGCTTATCGCATAATTATTACCTATCCAGCGATTAATCAAATCCTATATCAGTAAATGATGATTGATAACCAAGGAAATTATAGAAAGTCTGCGAGATTTTGCTAGAACGATCCGATATAAGACCTTAATTCTTCATTCAACAATTTTATTACAACAAATTTCATCCCTTCTCTCTCCCTCTCCCTCCCCATTAGTGGAAATAGCTTTGTTTAATACTTAATTTTATCATAACATCACTTTAGTAATTGATGTTCCCTTAAATAACGATCAAATTCAGTCCAATCGTGCCTTGTTCGATATGGTAGTTGATCATCAGGCATATCGTCACGAATTTTTAAAACTCTCAAAACTTTCCATCGTTCATAATCTTGATTTGCTTCTTTCACTGCAGTAAATCCAGCTACAGGAATTGTTAAAGTTCCGCCTAAGCTAAAAAAACAAAAAAATTGATATGAGGATTGACAAGAACCGATTGATAATAAGATTGAATAAAAGTTGTCTACCATAATTATTTCATCGAACTGATATAAAACTTGATAGAATAATAGATAAATGATTAAATAGACTTACAATGCGGCTCTCGGATTACCGGTAATACCATAAATAAGAATATGAGAAAGAATAAAGTTCACGGCTATTGCGACCATTGTTCTTGGTATCGCTGGATCTGGATTTCTCAATAACTATAATTCATTAGTTTATCAACAGAAATAGAATGTTCTTAAGGGAAATAGTTAATTTAAAAAAAGAAAAATTAATTCACTTTTACAACTAAATAATGCCTCATCAGTTATCGAGGGATCCATAGGATCCATTCAGCTATGGGAATCTCGAGAGGAAGATATAAGGTAAAAATAACATGTGATAAAAGTAAATAATACGTGACAATACGTGATAAGTGATAAATAAAAAGGTAATTCTCCCTTCACTGAAAATATTTATTAAGGGAATGGTAAAAATGAAGAGAAGGAGGAAAAAAGATTTCTTATTTGTAAAGTAATAATTTCTTTTTCTAAATGCTCTCATTACTGGTTAGACTGGCTACAAGGATCTCCAATTTGCTCGATGCGACGCCATCGCTAGTAATAGAAGCTAATCCCTTTTCCATCCTCTAAGTCCATATATCCTTGTGAAGCAATAAGAGAAAATGCTTTTTTGATCTTAAAATGAAAAATTTTAGTTTCATTCCTTTTACTTTTTGATAATAAATCTGTTTTAAATCTAAAAATCTGTACTACTACTAGGAACCCACCTAAAATCCCCTGATGAATATAAAAAAAGATTTTAAAAAAGAGAAGACCTAGAAAAGTCGAACGTATATATCAATCACCTATTAACAGTGCTGAATGGAACGTCAGAATATGAAGTCCTCATGTTCGGATGACCTACGTTTGCTTTAAAATTACGATATATTAAAAAAAGCAACACGCTCATGAATAATGAGAAAGTACTTTTGGTTTTGATCAACTTCAATTCGTCGGTTACAAATCTCGCTTTATTTCACCCATCGGTACCCTTTGCTATAATTACCAGTGCAATAAGCCAAACCAATAATGCTACGAGTTATTAGAAAACAAAAGCAAAACAAACGATTTCTAAGCGATCCCTCATGGTGGATTAAATACGGACTGATAAGCTATTGATAACTGATAGTTGATAAGCAGTTGTTTCTATTTTATTAAATATTGGAATAAATCAATACAGAATGAAAATTTTTTAAAATTCTCTAAATTTTTAAATATTTTCCATATTTATTTATCAATTTCAGTTCATTCACGAGAAAATTAATCATTCATTGACTATTGAAAAAAAAGGAAATTATGAAAAAAGATTATAAAAATTAATTTATAGAATTTCATTGAACTATTAATTGCTAATATTATTAAAAACTTATAATAATAATATTATTATTAAAACTTATAACATTATAATAATATTATTATTAAAAACTTTAAAATGTACTCCAAATAAAAATGGTCGTTCATTGCTTTTAATATTTGCATTATTCGATTCTGAAGAATCCACTGCTTGATTATCATTCGATGATTTCACTGATATTTCTGCCATCAGCAAAAAGTTTTTTTTTTCCTAAATCAACAATAAACAATAAGAATTAAATTTTTCCTTAAATATTTGAATTCTATAATTTTTTATTTTTTCATTTTATAAAATTCTTTAGCCTTCAAAGAAGAAAAAAAATTGGCTTTCCAATAAAAAATTATATTCCATATAATTCTCAAAGCAATAATCAATCCAATCATTTTACTTGGCTAAATTCATCAATTATCTGAAGATTGATAAATCCTCTATAAATCGAATCCTTCTAATCAAGTCACGAATTCAACGTTCACGAAATCTCACTGCTTTAGATTATTTCCCCTTAGTGATAAACTATTCTTAGCGCAGAAACTCTACAACTTCAAAAGGCCTAAAAGATTTTTTTAAGTAATCTCATCGATAAGAGCGATTAGCGCTCTTCATTTCTAACTCGCTTCGTTGACTATTAGTAAATATAGTCTCTTTTGGTGTTAAGGGCGCAGACCGAATCCAACACCATCACCACTATCATGTTGAATTCGTGTTCATACGATAGATATCTGAGCCATTTGAGTCACAAATCTATCTTAAATTCTTACTTATCAGTTATCAGTCATTTATCAGTTACTTTGGAAAATAATCGCCCCTCTTTCTGGAACTATAGCTGATAAACTAAATGAATTCTAATAAAAGAAAAATATATTTTGAATGAAACCGAAAAATTTTTGAAATATTTGATTTCTTTTCAAAAAAAAAAACAATTTTATTCTCTTTTTTCAAATGCATTTTGAAAGCAATTCGAGTGATTTTGAAATATAACTGATTTGTTTCAATAAAACAATCATTCACAAAAAAAAAAATATTTACTCGAATAGAGTTAGAGTTTTTTTTTAAGGCAAAATATTATATATTATATTATATATAATATTATAAAATAATCGATTAATAAAACTAACAAATTTTTTTTTGCCAATATTCCAAAGAAATACTTGTAAAATACAATAATCCGAGAAATATAAAAAGTATACTCTTCGATTTATTTTTCAAAAAAAATAAACTAATTCTAGAAATTTCCTTAATTATTTTAAAAATTCAATCCTTTAATAAATGGAAATTTAATTTCAGCGACAAATACGCACCCTCCCCCCTAAAAGTATCATCGACCGATTGAAAGTGAACCAATTTAAGAAAACGAATGAAAATGAAAAAATTGAGGAAAGGCAAAACAAAAAAATAAACTTTTTTCAAATTTATTATTCCAATGACTATAGAAAAAAAGACAAAGAATTGCAGCTGAATTCGAATTTAAGCAAAAGTCCTCCTTTAAAAAAATCTAAGCCAGTCAGGAGTCAGAAAAAAACAAAGAAAAAACGAATAAATAAAGAAAAAAGAATTTGGAAAAAACGAATGAGGTGCAAAACAATAGCAAATTTCATTGTAAAAAGCAAAAAAAAGGGCGAAAAAATATAATGTAAAAACGAGAAAAAATTTACCGTCTAAAAAAACGAAGAAAAATTAAAATAAAAAAATGAAAATTATTAAATGAAAAAAGAGGCGAATAAATGTTTCTAAATAGAAAACTTCACTCGCCCCACTCCCCCCCCCCCCCCCCCCCCCCCCCCCCCCAAATACCCCCCACGCCAATAAAAAACACAATAATGAATAAATCACAATGAATAAAATTTGCTGATCGAATAAATTCGTCTAAACTATTTTAACACTATAAAATTTAATAACTAATTTTATTACAACTAATTTTATTCTCTTCAAAGCAAATCTTTAAAAGAAAACTCCCAAAAAATTTCCTACCAGCGATGATAACTTTTGCAAAAAAAAGGAAAAAATTCGATACGTTACCACTTAAATTCCCCAAAGTTGACTTATTTTGTTTTTTATTTTTAGAGAAATTATCCAAATCAATTTTGCAAGCAATAAAGTCGACTTTGGCCGCCTACTGCAAAATAATTTAATCTCTCAAAATTTTCACCTATTGCTTTTAAAATTATTTTCTTTCTAAGCAAATTTTATTTAATAAATATTTGTTTATAAAAATAAATTTTTAGGGTTTTTTTAGGCGACCGAAATGAAATCAAACCAAACTAATTGATATCAAATTTTAATCATCAAAACAACTAATTTAGATTTGAAAAAAAAATAATAACAAAACCATAAATTATTCCCTTTTTCCATAACAAAAAAGAAAAAAAAAATTCCCTAAATGCAATAAAACAAAATGGGAATCATTTTAAAATATTATCATTATTCAGTAGAACCTCAAATCACCTTAAATAAAAAATTGTTCAGATTTAAAAAAATTGTTCGAAGTAAAAAATTATCTAAAAAGTCTGAAAAGAGAGGCGCTAAACAAATATATATCAAACAATGAATACAATTTTCTGCGAAAATCAAGAAACCTTAAGATGACAAGAAATCTTAAGATGATACGATGAACTGAGATAAAAATCATATATTTTGGCGATCAATTGCAATTCTACTGTGACTAGCAGAAATGATGACTAAATAAAGAAAGGAAACAAACCAAACTAAATACCAATTTGCATTTCAATAAATGAGAATTTTTTATGGGATTTTTACCCACAAGTAACAAATTGATTGGATTAATACGCTATAATGGATTGAAAAAATCACTTTATATTAGTTAGCGAGGATAAAAAAAGAAAATATTTTTATAAAGAATATTTTTATATGCTATAAAATTGCAATTAAAATTTAAGCAATTTTTAATTTAATAAAATTCATAAAAACGACAAATAAAGGCACTAAAAAAATTTGAGTTAACAATCATTCAATAGCAATAAAATTAAAATCTTTGAAGAGTAGTTGATCGTCATCGGTTATCAATCTTTTGCCTTTAGCTGAAGAAAAGCGTGGTGTTTCTTTGGTAAATTCCTCATCAAAATTGCTTACATCTTCCATATTTTTCTTAAAAATATATATATTTTATTAGGAACTATAATTTAACTAATTACCATTAACCTGTTTTCCACAACAATAAATTTCTACTTTCAAAACAGGAAAGCCAATAATAATACAAAATCGATCAAAGGTGAATTTTTTAAAAAAATTTAACTCGTTCTTTTTAACTTTCGCTGAATAAAAATTTGAGGAAAAATGATCCTATAAAATCAAAGAAAAAAATTAAACGCACAATTATTGGAATAAATTTCGGCTTCAATTCTTTCCTCAATAATTTCTCCCATTCCCAATTGATGTGCTGTAAATAAAACCAATTTTTTAAAATTTTTATGCAGCTAAATTAAACACTGCTTGCTCACTGTATAGATAGCGAGAAAGCTAACAGCTTTATAAATGGTTAATCACTATATATTAATGATTTGACTAATTAAAAGATAGGCTAAAAAAACCTTGAAAAAGCGTTGTTGCTTAACATCGAGGGCATCATTTTCACCAGAACCAAGTCGTTTATCTGGATTTTTTCTCAACAGCTAAAATAAAATTATCTAATTGAGAATTAAACAAAATGAAAACATCATAATAAATAGATAATTTCGAATAAGAGTTGAGAGATTAAAAATATAAAAAATAATATAAAAATTATTACAAAAATTATATAATAAAAATTAATAACATAGATTATAATACAAATTATAATACAATATAAATTAAAACATAAATTAAAAAATGTAAAATATAAAAAATTCAAATATAAATGAAAATAGGACCCTTCGCATAATTGTGATACTTTCGATTGAGAGAAATCGCGGATAACGAACATCATCATGCACAATTGACTCAAATATTTCTTCTTCATCTTCGCCCGAAAAAGGAGGCTAAACATATTATTAAAAGGATAGATCTTTAACTTCGTAATTATTACCAGAGTAAAGAAAATATCAAATTTTAAAAAAAAATAGAAAACCTCGCCAACGAGCATTTCAAAAATCAAAACGCCCAATCCCCACCAATCGATGGTACGTGTGTAGCTATTCTCAGTTAGCACCTAAATTATTAATTACTAATTATTTGTTAATACAAAAAAAAAAAAAAAAGAATAGAGAGTTCATATGTAGAAAAATAAAATGATACCTCCGGTGCCAGAAATTCGGGAGTACCGCAAAAAGTAGAGGTTCGATCTGTTGGACCCATACCTTCTTTACATAAACCGAAATCTGCTAATTTTACATAACCATCTCTATCCAAAAGAAGATTGTCTAACTTAAGATCTCTGAAATAATGGTAGAAGTATAAATTATAGATTGAAAATAATAATCAAAAGAATAATAATAAATAATAATAATAAAGAAATTTAATATATATATATATTATATAATATAGAAATATAAAATATAATATATTAAATATTAATATTAAAAACAGAAGCTGGAGCTAACCTGTAAATAATATCATTTGAATGAAGAAATTCAAGACCTAGAAGTACACAAGCCGCATAGAAACAACTTCGTTCCTCAGTGAAAATATCATCATGAATATGCCGCATTAGATCACCTCCCATTGTATATTCCATAACAAAGAAAACATGCTCTTTAGACTGGATACAAGCGAATAAATTAATGAGAAACGGATGCCTATGTCGAGTAGCAATCTATAAAAAATATATATACACTTTTTGATTTCTACATCAAAAAGAAAGGCGATATTTTAAAAATTACGAAGACTAACCTCGAAAATCCTTTTTTCAACCATCAACGATTCTACCTCATCACGCCCCAAAACATCCCCTTTTTTTAGTACTTTTAAAGCATAATATTCATTATTGGGTTTATACTGAGCCAATATTACCTAAAAAAATAATTTTTATGAAAAAATTCAAGCCAATAAATAGAATTTCATAAAATTCCAACGAGCCTTACAAGAAAACTTTACCAACTTTACATTTATTAATTCGATCTACAATGGCTTACTTTTCCGAAATGACCTCTCCCGAGTACAGATATAAGGCGGAATTTGTCGATAGTAATATCAGTAACAGCACGTGGTGCCTTTGGTGGTGGTATACCATGCGATTTTGATCCAAGACTGGTTACGAAATTCGGCGAGATATCAGTTGTAGATGAACCTTTTGGCACTAATGTACCAAATTGTTTCAGCGGTTCCGGAAGCACGGTAGACTAAATACAATATAATGAAAAAAGAACGTAATTTGTATAACTCTATTTATATTAAAGTATCGCATATAATATCATTTAACAATAGAAAGAAAGAAAATTATGAGCAAAATATTTTTTTTTCAAAATTCCGAAAGAAAAAATTATTACAATGAATTTTAAGGAAATAAAAACGTTACTTCTTCAGAAGAATGTGCGACTTGGAGTTTAGAGCGAATCTTGTTTTTTCCCCCTGTAAGTATGCTTGACGTGGAACGATTTGACATTTGTGCCAAATCAACAGGTGGAACATCATAAATTGGAGCAACGGGTAATGGACGTTCAGTACTCATTCGCGTTGAAATTGCTGTGGAATTCTTACTGGTATGAGTTAACCCAAAACCTGAAAAAAGGTAAGTTACCAAATTAAATTATAAATCAAATTAAGGAGATAAAAAAGAGATAATGAATAATGTGCCTTAATATCACTTCGTGGTAAGCCACTATAATTTAGATATTTAAATAAAATTTAAAATGAAAATGCAGAAATGACCATGAGTTGGAGCTCCTGCAAAACCAAACATAATTGGGCTCGTTACAGGTTCACCACTTTCATTAGTTTGTGAACCACCAAATTGTTTGATTAAACGACTCCAAGCTGCTATACCGAGTTCTTTTTTTGCGCCAGCAATTTCTTTTCGCTCTGAAATTCTTTCATCATAAATTTGTGAAACACGAAATTTGTGAAATTTCAAAGTTAAATATTAAACATATTTTATTAGAAAAATAAATGAAATTATTTATAGTAACAGAATTATATAAATCAGAGTCGAATAGAAAAAACATAGGTTAACAAAAATAGGTAAAATAAAATATAAATTAATAAAATTAATATTGAATATATTTATTCAGAATTAATATTGAATTAATATTGAATATATACGCCTAAAATGCTTCACGATAAAAAAAATGGAAGAAACAAAAATTTTTTATGTTAATTTACCTCGAATCTATCAATAAATAAATTTTTAATAAAAAACAAAAATATAAAACATTAAAAATATAAATATACCTTTTACTCTGAAGAGTCGTTTCTGTCGTTCCAATTTAGGTTTTCGACTAACTACTGGATTCAAATATTTAAACTGGAATTACTGATTTTTTTCTATGATAACGATATTGTATAAAATATAAATGAAAATCTCGAAGAAATAATCTATATTCGATGATAAAAAATTACTTCAGCGAAAAGTTCTCCTTCCGGCTCCAACTGCAACACAACACCAGTTCTTTCAGCTGGCTCAACAATATCGCCAAGTTTAATAACTACAAACGCACACATCGAACGCCAATCTTTATAGCGAATTTCAATTTCTAGTTCTCTGGACTAGAATTTTTAAAATAAGAGAATATAAATTGAAAATCGAAGCAGCGGATTAATTAAAAGGAAATAAAATACTATAAAAAATAGGCCTAAAATAACTAACCCTATCAAGCTCAATACTGAATCTCTGATCCCAACTTTGATGTGCCGCCGGACGAGCATCAGTAGTACCAACTTCTTTACTATCTAGACGTAATGTAGCAATTACTTCATCAGTCTGCGACATTCTTAGAGCACTGCTAGAAAAACTTGTAAGGATTCTCAATTATTTATTTTGTTCAATTTAATAAAAATCCACATTAAAATTAAAGAATAATAATTCGCAAAATTTTAATTCATTTTATATGAAAAAATTCAAGGAACTTATAAAGATAATTTTAAATTTTAACTTAAATAAAATATAAAATATTCCTTTAGTGATTCGTGAAAAAAACTGATGAAATGTGGGAAAATTTAAGGAAAAAACGGCGAATAGTGAACAGAAAAGAAAACACCACTGAAAAGAAAACACAAAATTTCTATCACAGTACTTTCTGTTAATATGTTAATAAGTGAGACTAAGTGCATTCAAAAAATATCAAAGTTAATATCATCCATTTTTCATTAGAAAAAGCTGTGAGTTTTGCAATGAAGAAATTTTCCACAATTATATGAAGTTATTTGTTCTAACGAAAAAAATTAGCATTAAAATAATAAAGGCTGATGATTATTGTCAAAAAAGAAAAAATGATAAGAGAAAACGCACAAAGCACCATGTAAGTTTGTAGGAGAACACCACACGGACGATGACCGTGTCCTAAAATAATTAAGAAATTGAAATAAATAAACAAAATATTAAACGATAATAAGCCCATTTCGTCAATTGGTTTTAAAAAACAAGAAAATAAATAAAATTTAAAAATAATGCAAACGAAAATTCTGCAAATAAAAATTAGATTTATAAAGATTTTAATGGATTATAATAATATTCATATGCAGTTAATTATAACAATCACAAATCACAAAAGCAATGTAGCCTATACAAAACTAAGAAAAAATTTTGATTACCTGCTTGTTCGTGGACCCAGACCACGAGCGTTTCGATTTTTCTGCGGCAAAAACCCAACCATTGATGAAGTTTCACCACCCATAGCCAATATAGAAGAAATTTCAGGTCGTGGAGCTCGCCGTGCTACATCAACCATTAAATTTTGGCATCCCATTATCCTAAATAAGAAAAACTATTTACATACAATACCAAAAGGTAATGCATATGTCTCTTTTTTTGTTTTCTGTTTTTCATATAAAATTTGCAAGCAAATACCTGACTTCAAGTCGACCACTAACAGCTAACGATTGTGTAAATGTGCTATGAAGCCTTGAGAAATTCGAAGTCCTCGGCAAACTGCCAGTTTTTAATTCACAATCCTTAAAGTCAATTTATTAAAAATAAATATTAAAGTTCATTAAAAATAGGCTTTTTATAACAAATTTGGAAAAAAAAGAATAAATGATAAAAATAAAAAACAAATGAGAACTTTTAATTTGTCAAACGAAGAAATCATCGAATATAATAGGTCATTTCTTGTAAACAATTAATTCTATTAAAGGAAAAAAATTAAAATCGAATAGAACTTGAGCAAATGAACTAGCAGAAATCGACGATGGACTCGCTTGATTATCATCGCGGGTATGCATCGAAAAGCCTCCATTATCGATTTCGAATAAAGCTTCAAAAATTTCCACTCTTTTTGTAGAATCCAATGGTAATTGAGAACTGAAATTCATTAATCAATTAGCAATTAAACAGTAATTATTAACTGCAAAACAAATATTGCAAATTTTTTTTTATAGCAAATATCATATCATTTTATATCATTTTTAGGCATAAAAATTTATAGGTAAAAAATTTTTTACCTATATTTATTAAGTGCCAATCGAATAAGATCCAGTTTTTCTTCTGACTGCATTTTGTTATCAAATGCTTGAGCTAAACTTTTTCCATCTGATTTTCTTTGACTTTTAAGTATTCTGAAAATATTAATAAAATGTTTATATAACAAAAATGTTTATGTAACAAAAAAATAAAACACATTTTAATACTTTAATTTTTACAATAAAAGTGCAATACGTTTATCAAATGAACAAATCAAATAGGTAATTAATTATTCATTAAAAAAACCAAATGGATAAAACTATAAAATGGAAAGGAAAAGTTTTAAAATATAATTCATTCAGACGGCAAATAGTCGATATATTTACTGCATGCTATTTAAAGTATAATATATGAAAAAAGATGCCCTCATTACAACAGAGTAAAGTTAATGATATGAATATAGAAATATATCCGACACAGAAATATATCCGGGTGATTCAGGCAACTCACCTGGCAAAAACTGTCTCCGACAACAAACCAGCGAAGCAAGCCTAACCAGTAGTGATGAAAGCTCTTAGAAAAAATAGAAATAATATAAAAGAAACGACAAAATTGATAGTCTATATCATATAAATATTTTTAATATATTCTACTGATTTTAAAGGTGGATTTAAGGGGAAAATTGATAGATAATATGGTTCCACTCTCTTCGGAAAATAATTTTAGAACAATCATTTACTTTATCATGTTTCGAGCTCCTTCAGCAATTGCTGCTTCCTTTCGCAATTTATTTATAAGGCCGTCGATAACAATTTCATTTCTTGATTGAACGCCTTTACCTAAAAGTTTAAAAAAATGTTTTCCGTGAACTTAGAAGAATTATAATACTGTCTTCGTGAGTCATGATCGAATAATACGAAGATTATATAAATTCCGAAATCACCTAATAAACCAGAATCCAATCTTTCCTGATGTTGAATTTTTTCAATTTGCATCCGCAAAAGAGCGATTTTAGCCTTTGAATCATCCAACATGTTTTTAGAATTTTCTTGAAGTTTGCGATTCGTCTGTCCAATATTGAGAAAACGCTCAAGACCTTCTTTAACTTTTAATTCCTTTCCAAGTTCTTTCTAAAACCAATAAAGACGCAATGAGGAGAAAAATAAGATAAAAAATAAATAAAAATAAATAAGAAATTTCAGATAAAATTAATGAACCTGTAGAGCAGGAAGCCGCGATTTTACAGCATTTGAAACACCAGCACTTTGATCTAAAATTTCGTCAGCAGACCCAACCCTTGGAAGAGATGCATCTTTTAAGGTATGCGTAGACGATACCAATTCATCTGATGGAGAAGTCGACACAGAATTCGATTTACCTTCATCTGTAAGTGATTTATCTACAAGAAACAAGAAACTCAAATTTGATCAAAGTTAGCATATAGTAAAATATCAGCTACTTGCTATTACCTTAAAAAAATTTTTTTTACTTTCACGATAAAAAATTAACTATTCCAAGAAGATTATTGAAATATTTATATTGAAATTGAAAATTACAAAAATATCCAGGAATTCATAGACAAATTCTTATTTATTTAGACTATGAATAAAGTGACGAATAAAAATCATCATCAAAAAATAAAGGAGATTTATAAAAAGTAATAAATAAACTAATAAAATAATAAACTATTTCCCCTATTTCTAGAACTGGACTAACAAAAAAAAATTTTTTAAAAAGCCCTCACCAACTTGTTCCGCTAACTTTTCGTATTGGTCAAATATGTTAGAGAGTCCCTAGGCGATTTACCATTCATTTCCTTATGATATTAAAATTGAATGGAGATGACTGCCACGAATTTAATATAAATATTATATCGAGTAAATCAATGATAAATATTTATATCGAAATTAAATTCCCATATCGAAAAAATATTAAAATATGAAAAAATAGTAAATATTGAAACGACCGATTAAATGATTGACAATTCATTTAATTTGGTCTTTTTAACCAATAACTCAAGAAAAAATAACCAAAAGCGCCCGTATCGTACATATCGAGGGTTTGAAGATCATCTTGCATATCACTAATCTGATCACTCAAATCTCGAACTTCTTTTTTCAGAAATTCCAACTGCTTTCGTTCCTTTGTAACTTTCTAAAAATTCAAAAAAAATGAAATAAAAATAATGAAAAATAATAATTGAATATTAAATGTTTGGAATTCATTTTTAAAAAGCAATTTCTAGCATATAATGAAATTAAACGACTAAAATTGGCTTTTTTTTTGTAACAAAAATTAAGCATAAATAAAAAATTACCTGCATTTGTACATATCCTTGTTTAATTCGCATTTGTTTATTTAATTTGCAACGAATTACTCGCTTTAATTCAATTATATCCCTTTGTAGTGATCGTTGATCAGCGAATTTAAAACTGTACCTATCAGCAAGCGGTAACAACTCTTCTGGGACGGTTTGATTTGTGCTGAATGAACTGGAAAAAAATAAAATTTCTTTTGAAAAAACAAACAAATTTAAAATGTTCTTTATTATTCATATATTCCATAGCAATTAATATGGCAATTTAGGTTATAATTGTCTAAAAAAAATTGAAAATAGAAATAAAAAGAGTCATTAAAATAATCGCAACAAAATTTCTGCGCAAATTTAAGGAAATCAAATTTTTAAAAAAATATTTTATTTTATCAGCTGTACAAAAAAAAATCCAACCTGCATGGATCACCGTCCGAATCCACCGACTGCCACGTATGAGCACCCAGTTGAGCGACATCAGCCATATTAGATCTGTAAAAAAAAATCCGATTTTAAAAAAATAAAAATTTTATTTTTTAAAAATTCGAAACGCCAATCGAATGCGTACAACGAATACTTTCGACTTTTATACCAATGTTTAACAAATTTAAAAAAAAATAAAAAAGCGAATTTTCGTCCATTCGTAAAAATTCAATCCAATTTTTTAATTTTTCAAAAAATAATCGACAATAATAAACAATAACTAAATATCACTAAAATAAAATTTTAATACTTATTTTTAATATAAATTTTTGATGAAAAAAAAAGTTCGAAATCGAAACCTACAATAATAAAATATCAGAAAAACAAAAAAAATTTATTCATCTGAAAACCATCGAAACCATTATCGAAATACAAAAAAAATACCTTTATTTGTAAAATAAAATGAAAATTGCACTAGCCGAATACAGCAAGAAAAATAAACTCGCGATGACTTATCCATATATTTTCCCGTATTCCGAAATGATTCTTTTCTCCCTCTCTCTCTCAACAAAGTACCATTCTACAAGTCAATAAAGCTGAACAAATCAATAGCAATAAATAAAATACAATAGAAGACAATATGACAAATAGTAAAAATTAAAATGAAATAAAATAATTCAAAATCATAATCTTTTATAACTTCTATTATAATGCGAAAATCTATTTTATTTCTCATTAATTATACCGATTTATATGAATTCTTCAAACAAATTTATATTTCTACCGATTTCACTATTGCTTTGTTCAGCAACGCTCTAATAAATTTTTTGATCCGTCAGCGAATAATAATAATAATAAATTTTTTTTTATATTCAAATAAATTTCGACCACCAAAATAGTGAATAAAAATGCATGCATAAAAAAATAAAATCACTCATTAATAGGTTGAATAAACCAGTCATAAAATAAATTATTATAAAAATAATTAAAGAAGAAAGCAGAGATTTCAATAATAAACCTACACTACTGGATAAACAGATTAATTAATTCCTTAAAATATTGAATATTGAAAAAGTTGTTGGTTAAAGAAAAAGAAAATTTTATAAAATTTCACAAAATGACTTTGAAAATCCCATTATTACTTGAGTATTTATTCATTAATCATAATTTGTAATCATAATTTGACTGATAAATCTATTGTCGTTCTACTGATCTATTGATTCATTAAGCTTTATTTCAAATTGAAAGCCCGAATGCAAAATTCATGGAATATCTTATCACACAATTCTCTATAAACAAAAAAATATTGAAAAATACAATATATGTTATTATTATTAAATATTATTGTACATTATTATTACATATTGTATTATTACATATTATTGTTGTATATTGTTAATATATATTATTATTATATAAATTTTTATACACTATGACCATATATTAATTATTAAAATTTAAAAATATAATATATATTATTTAATATTATCAAAATTCAATATGAAATTTTTCTTTTTTCCCATAAAATATCAGACGAAAACTTATTTGCATCTATCCTCGTTTTTTTTGCCAATTCTAATAAAATTTATATGGAATTGCATATTCGTGAACTGATCGTTATTTAATGCTAATTAATTAACCGAATTCTCTTACAAATAGAGTGAAAAAAAATGGAGAAAAAGAAGAAATAATGAGTAGATTCGTATTAAAAAAAATGAATACTTCATAAGCAAATAAATGAATCGGTAAAAGATTGAAACAAATGATTTCAATTAAAATAAAATTTTCAAAATTGATTAAATTAAAGATGATATCGAAAAATATCGAAAATCAATGGCATTCAAATATAATATTCAGATAATAAAACGAATATTCATTTGAAATTAGATTTAATAAGTTGAAAAATTTTAAAGAATTTTAAAGAATTTAAAAAAAAACGCTTATTTTATTATAAAATTTTATTATAAAACAAAAATAATATGAAAAATGAAAAAATTATTTCATTTCCATAAGAATTATTCGTTTAGGAACAATTTGTTTTAGGAGCTCATCATTTCTGTTTAAGGAGCTCATCATTTCTGTATCTTATTTTTCTCCGCCAGCTTATCGAAGCAAATATACAAACAAATGATTCATCTGACGATAGGAACTGAGATAAGTCACCTGCATTACCTGAATTTTTTAAAAATAGATTTTACTTTTGCCAGAGGTAAATGATTAGCACCAGAGAATGAGACTAAGACCACTGAACCTATATATAAATATTCTACCTATATATGAATGATGCGTGGAAGGCAATATTTTCTATAGTTCTGCCAGTCTTATCCAAAAACCAATAAATCATAGCTAAACAATCCTCTAAATCAAAAAAAAATGAACTGATGAAATATAAGATAATGATGCGAATAAAGACTAATAAATAATAATAATGATTATAATCGCAGATAAAATTAACCCATCAAATATGGTCTCTTCGACCACGAGTTTCAGCATCTCGTCCACTTGACGTGAATGGTATTAAAAATAAGCTATTGTTGAAGATCCATCTGTTAAATAACAACCATTCGAACCAATCAGCCAATTTTGTCGAATAGCCATTAAATAATTTATAAATACGCTAACTGCGTCTATAGTGCACTTTTATTGACATAATGAAATAGAACAAAAATGTGGATTTTAAAATTTAAAAAGAATGCGAATTTTTTTAATACCATTCACCATCTTTTAAAAGAATAAAAAAATAAAAAATCTATGAAAAACTAAATAAAATACATACAAATTTAATAATATTTTAAAAGATGCAAGATTAAATACCATAAAAAAAGTCTATCAAATAATATTAAATATTATAATATTATAAATAAAATAATATTAAATATTATAAAAATAAAGTATTAGTAGTAAAAATTAATAAATCAGCAATCACCATTTCTAGTTAGTTAACTGTTCATAGTTAGGAGAAAAAAAATAAGAAATTTAAGCCAGTGAATCAAACCTGTGGATAGAGCAATTGATGACAAGCCATCCGGTTTTTTTAATAATAGATTTATTCCTGTTAGAGGCAATTATTAATAATATAAGAAAAAAACTGCAATAAGAATTATGAAAATTATAAATAATAATTCAAACAACTGGCTACAAACAAACAAACAAGATTTTCCATTTATTTTTCTCAATTTCGATATATTAAATAAACCAATAAGCGAAAGTAAAAATGAATTGAAAAATATGATAGAACTATTGATAAAACGTAAAATTTTTTTATAAATTAAATTAAAAGTGAAATAAATGGCAAATTTTTCCTGAAAAGAAAAAGAAAAAACCAAAAAACCAAACTTAAATTATTCCATAAAAAATCAAATCAAAATAAAAAGTTGAAAAAAATAAAATAAAATAAACGAACTTATAAAATTTTTTGTGATCGAAGATTTAATCAAAATATTTTTTCATTAATCGTTCCAAATCGATAAAACGAAATTCATAAAACAACTGATAATAACTAAAATAATATTATAAAAAATATAAAAAATAATATTATAAAAATATTATAAAAAAATAATATTATTCTATAAATATAATTTTATAATTTTTTCACAACTGATAGCATTAACTAAAAAAAGAAAATAATCAAATTGCTTAACAAAATTCAATTACTACTATTGATGCTCCTGAATTCCTCTTTACATTTTAATATTTTTTAGTATTTTTTCTTTCATCGACCTAAATTTTAGAATATTTGTTGTTCCAATTATTTTATGAATTAATTATTAAACTGGCATTCAAAATTTAATCTAAATTGTCAAAATTGTCCATTTCCAGTTTAAAAAAATAGCAATAAAATTTCTAAGCAATGAATAAGAAAAATAAAATATAATATAATATATTATAAAAAATAAAATATTTCCAGGTAAATTTTAAATTAAAAATAATAAATTTAATGATTTTTAAAAAATAATATTATTCTATAAATATAATTTTATAATTTTTTCACAACTGATACCATTAACTATTGGAATAAATTACTGCCGCCTGCTGATTCAATATTTTTGCACCATTCAGTTTTAAGAGTAAAAACTTTATCCATTCTTTCTCTTCTTCTAATAGCTTTCATTACTACTGATTAGACTGAATCTGCTGGCTATAAGGCTATGATATCTTCAGACATTCGGTCCAACGCTATCGCTGACAATAATAAAAGCCCTTTCTTTTTCCATCGTCTAAAATCCATAAACCGATAGTCCCCCTAAATATTATTTATAATATTTGTCTTAACAATGCCATGTTTTCACTAGTTTTAATTCTTTTTAAGTTATCTTATTAATGTTTTATACTTCATTTAATATTAATATAATTCCATTATCTAATATTCAGCTTAATCCTCTAAAATAAACAACAACGAATAAAATAAATTCATACCATTATTTATTAACATTATTTAAATTCATATAAACTATTCTTGCAAAATATAATAAATTAAATTAAACACTTTTACTTTGCGAAATTTCTTACATTACTTATTAAATAGTTTGTCATTTATATTTAATAAACATAAAAGTATAAATATAAAAAATTAAAAATTAAAAATTCATTAAATATAAAAAATTATCTCTTTGATTGAAAAGACAATAAAAGTGAAAAAATAAAATATTTTAAACTATTTCAAAAAAAAAGAATTTGTAAAAATGATTTTATAAAATGAAATGAATTAAGGCGAATTAGCTTATAAAAATTAAAAAATAATAACATAAATAATCCTATTAAATTCATTTCAAATTTATTCCCTTCTATGTTTTTCAATAATTTAAAAAAATTCATTGAATTTTGATCATTTCAATTGCGATAAAATTTTTTTAGCAAAATTTTTTAATAGTATTACAGAATCAAATCAATAATTTCTATTAATATGAGTAATAAATAACAAAAATTATAGTAATATTGGAAACAATAAGAATTATAAAATAATAAAGTGATAAAAATAATAAATAATAAAAATTAAAGTAAAGTAACAAAATTTATAAAAAATTTAATTTATAAACGACGTTTTCGCAAAATATTTGCAGTA